TGTGGCCAAACGCCACGCAGTGAGAACGTGGAGCGTACAGCAAGAGAGCTTCATTTTGAAAGCTGTAAGGAGATTATGTCATGCAGAGGAGTTAAAAGTCCTCAAAACGGTGAAGTATTACAGAAACATTCCAGGCCCTGGTTGGGAGGAGATGATCGCTCTCCATGCTGTAAGAAGGGACATTGGCAAATCTCCCAATCCAGCTGCTCAACAGGGCAAAGTGCTGCTTTGATTGTTCTGTATGCAGCAAGGAAGGGTAACCGGAGATCTGTTAGACCTATGAGGTACACAGTGTAGCTTAATTTTGTTCCTGATACTCAAATTATTTCTTGTTCCTTTTTCTTTAATTATTTTTTCTTTTCAGAGCTGCAGGGAAGCATTTAAGGTAGCATGAAAATGGTAGAGGGAACTGAAAGCCAAGAAATGAGAAAAAGTCTGATGGAGAGTAATTGGGTTTTCTGAGTCACTAATGTTCTTCAGTGTTATTCTGGCAGCAGGCAGCTTGAGACTTACAATCATCTTTATAGAAATGAAGGAGGCAATTTCTGTGTCAAAGAGGGGTCTTCAGGACCTCCTGTTCTAAAACTGTGATTTTTTTTTTTTTTTTTTTTTTTTTGTTGTTGCCAGGGTAGGCAAGCTGGGTAAACTGTTCTCATTTGTTTCTACAGAAACAAGGTTACAGACATAGATGTTCCAGTTCAATATAATTATAAATATATATATATATATAAAATGCAACCGCATTTCTGCACTTGCTCCGGTTATATATTGCTCCACTTATATATAGTTATATATAGTTAAAATGCAAGCGCAATTTTTAAGTGGGAGAAGAAAATAGATGTGAACAAAGATGTGCAAGGAGAGATCAGATTGCTGTATTACTAACTCATCAGGAGCATATTTTTCCTTCTTCAGGATACAGGCAATGCATGTTTAAAGGAGTTACTCAAGGTGGAGATCTTTGTATATTGCAGAAAGAGAAATGACCCCACAAAGCTGTTAAATAGGACAAGGTACACACTGTAACTTGCTTGCCACTACGCTCTGCTGTTTTTTCCTGGCAGATTCCTCCATGTACAAACTCCAAGGTCAATCTTGCTTCCATATTTCTGCCTTAAGAAACTTCTAAGCCTTCTGCACTTCTATTCAGCCTGGTCCTCACAAGAAGAGGTCCCAACTATTTCTGTTCTCATTAAGTTTTTTCCTTAGGTAAGAATTTGCTTTTCTGTGGCTGAAGCTCAAGTAGGGTTATTAATGGGTTAAGTCATATATGGCTGTATGGTATGGAGCTCGAATTGCTCTGGCTAGCTAGTTACCTGAGGCTCTAAACTCCACATTGTGGCAGCTATGTTGCTGTCAGCACTCAAAATTGATATTTTAATGCTAGATTGTGTACATCTAACCAGCAGCAGTCACACAATTGCCTGCTGAAGAACCATACTTTCCAGGTTATGCCTTCATTGTGTACTAACCTTGGATTAAATAAACTAAGGAAAGGGAGCTGAAGTTCCCTAACTTGCTACATTGCGGTCCTGCTATTATTAAGTCTGCTGCTGAATGTGTGAAAGTGTGGGGGATCAACATAAACTTCGCAGAAGCAAAGCCCTGTGGTAGGTGGCAATGGCAGCCTTGGCATAAAATCTGGAGTGTGCTCTGAGGCAGTGCCATTGGAACAATGCAGAGCAGTACATAAAAAGGGAGCTCTGTATGGGCACTCTTACCCAAATCACCCTGGGAGAGAGAAGGAGTTGGTATTAGTAATAAACTGCAAAATGAAGGTCTCACTTGAGGGAAAATAAAAAGCAAGAGAACTGGTGGCAAGAAATAGAACAGAAGAAAAGATGATGTGCATGAAAGCATGCAAGCTCTGGACAGTTTGGTAATGTCCTGAGGAACAAATCCTGCTGGAGAAAAAAAATGGAGAAAGAACTGCCAAGGCAATGTGTTTTACTTGCAGGGCCTGGTACCTGAGGACTGTGAGTTATCTCCATTGACAGTGTGTCACATCCACCATCCAACTCAGCATCCTGGTTGGTATTTGGCACTAGGGTTTAGAAATATGAAGAGACAGTCCTAGTGATCATGGAAAACATGTTAGAGAGATAGGGAAGAGCTATCAGATACTGGTATGTATGTTCCAGGATATGCTTTGCCCTGGGAACAGCAGAAAACTGTGGAGCAATATTTTATGCATTTTGCTGTCCCTGGACAAAACACTTTGGGATAAACTAATTAAGATGACGTCTCTCCTATGGCCTAGTATATATCCTTCAGCACCTTCAAGAGTTGAGAGAAATCACATTTAATTTCAGAGTTATCACACTTCCCCCCTCCCCTCCCCCCCAACACACGTTTTGTTATAAACAGCAAGGTATGTGCGGGCTTACTGGGATCACTCCCTTTGCCGTGCTGTGCAGGATTAGTAATGGGCTGCTCTGTGTCACGATGTTGAAAATAAACATAGCACTTGTGAAAATATATGCGACTGATATGATGATATAAACCCGAGGTTTATTTCTTACTACTTGTGTGTCTTACATACAGACTGAAGCAAGTGTTGTTTTATTTTTAGATGTGTACTGCTCTGCTGCTGCTTTTCTGAAGTAGCATCGATGGTTTCCTTTAGCAATTCATAGTTGCTGAACAGACACCTTTATGTTTAAGTATGTGATGTTCTGTCTTTGCATTCTTATAGTAACTTAAACAATCTGTAGAGTCGTTCAGTTCAGTAGTACGTGCCTTTGTAATCCGGTTGTGTGAGTGGTACCTTTTGAAGTAAATTTTCTGAAGAATTTTAATAAAACAGCCTGAAGGTAATTGATTTGCAGCAGGCTGGAGCAGGCCCAGTTATTTTCAATGGTCAAGCCATCCCAAAACAATCGTTTGAACCTTAAGAATCTCGTAAGTGTTCCACGACATAAGTTAAGAAGCTCGTAAGTGTTCCACAACTCTATTGATTTTGGCAAAAAATTAAAAATAGGTTTCAGGAGTTAAAAATCAGCAGAACTCCTTAACTATCTGGAGCCTGTACATTTAAGACAGCAACAATAGACTCCTTAGGTTACTAAATTTATGACAAGGCTGCACGATTAAACCCAAATATAAATAAGAGCAGATTGTGGAACTTTTTCTCTTGGAAAGCAGGTGGGAAAATCATGTGTAGTCTTCAAATACTCAAATAGCATTGGTTCTTTTATGCTTTTGTTTATATTTAGTATATAATAAGCACACATAAGTGAAACTTCTGCGGGTAATTCACGTTGCAAGAAGGGTCTGTGTGCTCAGGAGACTGGACATTCTGTTAAGCTTGTCAAATGAAAAATACTATTTCTTCCTTGCTCATCTGTTTGAGATCAGCACACTGGCCCTTTGCAGTTATCTCCCCAGAACAGCTGGGGGTAGAAGGGCAATTTTCCCTCAACAAGCAAAGAAGTGTGGAGCTAGGAGTACTTGTGGACACAAAGGCCCCCTGTCAGTCCCATGGACTTGTTTGTTTTATCTGAGTGTAGGAGCTTGTATCTTTATACCCTGATTGTGGTAACAATCTTCCTACTACCACAGAGACAGCAAAGGCTGCCCTGTTTTCACACATTCATTATCCTGGTAACTGAATCTGAACCAAAATTACCTTCCTGTGCTAATGATATGCTGACAATATTAAATGTATTTTTTAAACACTATCTTAGTATGGTATTTGCTGTATAAGGGTCAAACCTTGTGTTTCATGGGATAGGGTTCATAAAAATAATTAGGAAAAGGAGATGACAACAAAGAGCAGAAGTTGTAAACATTTTGGAAAGAGTCCCACATCTGTTATGCCAGAGGAAAAGGGTGGAAAGGCCAGGAAAAGTAAGCAAAGAGTGGAAAGAGGATGCGGAGAGAACTCAAAACAGGTAGAAAACATGGAAGAGAAATGAAGAGTGAGCAGGGTTGAAGAAAAGCCTGAAGACAGCAATGAAGAGTATCTGGGAGGCAAAGAATATGTATGAGCAAGAAAGAACTTCCAGGGGAAAAAATAACAAGAAGTAAGGGAAGGAAGAGTGAAATGGATCCTTTCAGAGACGCTACAGTTAATGAAGAGGTTGTACCCTGCTCTATTTAATCACCAATGTCAAAAAGTGGTAATTAAATGAATTAAGCCTATTGTGTGAGTCACTGTCTGGCCACTGTTGTGTGTTGAGCAGGACAGCACAGGTAGGAGGAAGAAAGAACGTTTTGTTGTAGCTGGGTCGTGTTCAAGTGCTGTGTTGTGTATTCACCACCCTTCAAAGAGCATAAATCCGTTAGTGCAGGAGCTACTACAGTGGTTGCTGTTGTGAGGTACTGAGGATGGGTACTTCAGAAAAGTCATGAACAACATTTCTTCATCAGGGACTGTAGCAATAGGACAAGGGTTTAAACTGAAACAGGGGTCATTTAGATTAGATATAGGGAAGCAGTTCTTCCCTGTGAGGATGCTGAGGCGCTGGCACAGGGTGCCCAGAGAAGCTGTGGCTGCCCCATCCCTGGCAGTGTTCAAGGCCGGGTTGGACACAGAGACACAGGGGCTTGGGAACAACCTGATCTAGTGGAAGGTGTCCCTGCTCATGGCAGGGGATTGGAACTGGATGAGCTCTAAGCTCCCTTCCAGCACAGTCTCTGATTCTATGATTTTGAGTTTCGAGGGCCCGTGTTAGTTGCCCGCTGCTTGTGTTGAAAGCGCTCCAGCAGCCCTACCTCTGGTGGAGGCCACAGGGCTCGGTTACCACAGCACTGGCACACGGTGAAGCAAAACCACCTTTAAACTCCACAAGGAGGAGGAGGCGTTTTCTGTGGCCGGGCAGCACGGCAACAACAGAGCCAAGTCCCCTTCTGGCAGCGGGGGGAAGGGGGAGACACTCCAGAGCTCTCCAGCCTCCCTGCCGCGGGTTTCATGTGACCGAGGCCATGCTTAGGAACGGGCAAAGGAAAGGCGAAAAGGAAACCGCCTCTGGAGGGGGCGGCGGGGGGGCCTGCGTGGGGTTGGCGGGAACACCCCGCTCCCCGCCGCCGCCGGGCTGTGGGGCGGAGCGTGCGTGAGCGGCGGGGCGCTGGGAGCCGTTACCCGCCCCCACGTGGCCAACCGGGCGGAGCAGGCGGCGGTAGTGGCGGCGCAGTCCGGTGGAGTAGTCGCCGCTTGCTCCCCTCCTCTCCTCGCTCCGGTACTACGAGCTCCGCCTGCTCCGTCTCCGCCCCCCGGCCTGCCCGGGGGTGGTGGGGGGAACCTCCTCGCTGAGGACCGCCCCCCTCCCCTCCTTCTCCGGCGCGGCACCCACCCCCTGGCTCCGGCGGGGACTATGCGGAGATGGTCGTCGTGACCCGAGGCAGAAACAAAGAGTCGCCGCCGCTTAAGCCTGGCCAGCAGCAGCAGTCGCCGGGCGCTAGCCCCAGGGGCGGCCGTGGGCGCCCGCCGCACTCTCCCGGCCGGCAGGTCCCCGGCGGGGCCCGCGCCATGCGGAAGGGAGGCGGCGGCCGGCGGGGAGCCAGGGGCGACCCCCAGAGACCCTGCCGGGAGGGGCCCGCGGCGGAGGGGCTGCGGGACGTGCTGGGCCGCGGGCCGCTGAGGCTGCTGCGCGGCTGCAGAGACCGGCTCGGAGGTGAGGTGCGGGGTGAGGGGGGAGAGCCGCCCCCTTTGCCCCTGCTGGGCCGGGAGGGCAGCCTTTCTGCAAGGGGGAAGTGGGATGAGGGTCGGTCTTGCCTCCCTGCGCTCTTTCCGGGTGTCAGTAGACTTGTCCGGCACGGCGCGGAAGCCTCCGTGGTACGGAGTGGCTTCTCTCTACTGACTGGGGAAGGGGAGCGGCGGGACAGCGGCTCGTGGACACTGAGAGCGGCCATCCCCGTAGCCTCACGCCGCCTGCCTTCGGCGGGGTTGTGTCCGGCACGGCCGGGGGCAGCGGCTGGCGGTCGGCTGCTCTCCCGCCTTCCCCGGGCCCGTCCTCCAGCCTGTCACAACGGGAGGAGGTTAAAGCTGACAAGTCCCGCACCGGTATCGGAGGCGAGGGATAGGAAAAGGGCTTGTTTTGACACTTTAAGCATCCTTTGGGAGAGCAGTAAGCAACCCTCCCTCCGGTTTGTTTCTTGTTTAGAAGGGTGACTTTCCGTTTGAGCGAATTTGTCAATAGCATACCTATGTAGGAATTATCCCCTGAGAACTCGTTTTGACAAAGTTATTTCAGGACTTAAAAGCCTGATGATTTGAGTAGTCACCTTAATAGTCTATCTGTGATGTTCGAAGCTTTTATGTGTAGTTACTAACTTGCTGCATGAAACTTCTTGCAGTGTTTTTGAAGTCTAGTCAAGCTTTTTAAACAGAAAGTTGATGCTGCGGAGTTTGAGCAGTTTTCCTTTTAGAGGCTGTTCTTAATTGGTGCTTAAGGTATTTGTTTTCTTTTGGCAGTATTTGTGGATGACAGGAAGGCCTCCATCGTAAAAGCTGATAGCAAGATATGGCTCACTTTCCTTTTAGGTAAGTAGAAGGAAAACATTTGGGGGGGGGGGGAATACTGTTCTTTTTACCTTTCTTACTCTGGAGTTATAAAATGTATCAAAATGTATTTCGAAATACAACTCTGAAAACTAAAAGTGCATTGCTTGCATTGAAAAGGGACAGAAAACTTCTTACCTCGTAACTTTTGTAAAACTGTTATTGTAGGAGCTGGTGTGGTATTGGAACATTCGTAGGAAAGTAATTGTTCAGGTATTTATGGATCTCTCCTATCTAGTTATTAATTTCTAAGATTTGTAAAAAAAGGAAGCAACTCAATAAGTCATGTAATCAATATGTTTTGGAAGGGTTATGGGTAGGAGAACAAAGAACAGCAGGGGGTTGTATAGTCTGATGTTATTTCAAGAGTGAATAACAAAACAGCTAATAACCAAAGTCTTGGAAAAAGCACCAAAAAAAAATCTGCAAAATTAAATAAGAAATACATTCCTAAAATTAATAAATGTTAAATAGTAATTGTCAGATGTACCGTGAGTATACTCTGAAACCATTCTATTAGAAGACTGTCAGGGTATTCCAAAGATGCTGGTACTATTAATCACACCACCAGTAGTCCTTGTTGCCAGAGGGAGTTTCTTCAGTTTGATGAATTACATTGCAAAGCAGTAGCAGGGGAACAACCCTCGGTTTACAAACTAATTGATGATTAAACTGTTCCTGAATTGCTTTGCTTACCTTTGTTTATTCAGTGTTTCCTACACTAGTAGTTACTTAAATGATTCAGAAACATTAAACTGATGGTCAGAATTGAAAAATGCTTTCCTGTGATTGAAATCAGAGAGCTTTATCATTTCTGCAGTTGGAATTTGGCTGTGAAACCCAGATAACCAATTAAATACTTCAGGGAGCACTTTATATTTTTAATAGGAGTAAACCCTTAATAGCAAAGTATGTAACAGCATGCAGTATTGGCAGTAGCAAAGAACGTACCTATGCTAAATATGAAACAAGGGCCTTTGGTTTTAGTGTTGTTTAAATTTTTGCTGTTTTGCTGAAGCTTTAAGGTCCAGATTTTATTTTTTTGTAATGACCATTGAATTGAGGCCTTATTCTTGAAGACATCCTTTCTAGATTCTACAGAATCTTGCAGTGAAACGTCTTGACTAAGCTGCAAAAGTAGTCGATGCTTGCACATGCCTCATTGTTCCCTCATATAGTTCTGCTGTATTCCTACCTAGTCACTTTGGGGATACTTGCAAAGCTCAAGTTTCTGGCATGTTTCACATCCTGTTGTTTTACGGTGTGTCAGAATTTGTTGTTCTCTTGGTAAATGAGTTCTATATATTATGGCTTCATTCTTCTGTATTTAATTTCCAGAATTAGAATGCTTTTAATATGCCATTCATATTACTTTTGTTAGAATAGAACACAGGTGAAAATAGGAAATCTGATGAAATAAACTATCAGGTTTTACATAATAGCCCTAATCTGCAAAATTCTGATCGTACACTTTGCTTCTAGGGATTCTTAGGTTGGGTGAGAAAATGGCATCTGCAAATTCAAGTACATAGTAGCTGTCTAAATCTCTGTAGCGATAGGACTCTAGTATTCCTCTCCTTCATTCCCTCCCCAGTAAGGATATTAATGAGATTGAAGGATAGTAATTTTAGAGAGCTGATTTGCATGTTTTCCATCAGAATCTAGCTTAATGTAAGTCTGGATGCAGTCTGTTTGAAAATGCTGATTTGGGCACATAGTGGAAGTCTATGAATTAAGTGCATTGTCTCTTGAAATGCGAGTAATTGCATGAATTGCTGTGTGATTATAATAGGTCTTGGTTTTATGCTTATAATAGAGTGATATTGTGAAGTTTTATACAAATGTGTATGAAATCCTCCAAAAATAATTGTGTAAGTATTGACACTTAATGCATTGACTTTAAATAAAACATTTACTGAGGGGAAGAATCAGATTTAAATATAATGTTTTCTCTGTGATACAAGTGGTATGTTTGAATCTGAACTGTAATTTCCATATTAATAGATCAGTTATTTGCAACAATAAAATACTGCATATTTGGCTTATTTGGAACCACATGAATTTGAGATCATGAACAGTACAGCCAGTTAATGTGCATTTATTTTGACGTGTATTCTTAACTAACACATAATCTGTCTTAAAATGGATATTTTTTTATAGTTGGGGTGTGTGTATGTGTAAATGTATTTCAGCATCTAATCTGGTTGAAAATCTTAGAAATGTTGCCAAGAAATGAAATAATGCCTTGTGCAAATGTGTAACTCAGTAAGTACTAAGAAAGGTATGGATGGCTCTGCTGCTTTCCATACAATTACTGCAAAACACGTTTGTTTCTGGAATATGGTTTGCTGTGTTGCTGATGTAGCTAAATGGGCGTACCTTGAATTCCAGATCATATCTGTATTTGCTTTTCTAAAAAATGAGTTTGCAGTTCTCCATGAGAACTAAGGGAAATGTCCTTAGCATAAAAAAAAAAAAAAATCCAAACTCCTGAAACTTTCCTAAGACATTAAATTCCACTTAAAGTGAACTAAACTGAGCAATCCTTTTGTGATTTATTTTTATTCTAGAAAGCATATGTAAGAATGTAAAGTTCTAAATGAAAGCTTATGGTACTCATTTTGTAACTGAAATTCAGGCTTCTCTTTGAGAAAACAACTTTGGTGGCCAACGCGGAGCTGAAAAACTCGTAAGGAAGTTTCAGTGTAGTATTCTCCAACCTCAGCTACTATATATGAAGCATGTAACTTAAGGGAAACCTTGACTCGTAGAGGCAGGTAGTTTAGAGCTTGTTTTTGGTTTTTTTGGTGTTTTGGTTTGGTTTTTTTTTTCCCCTTTAGGTAATTCTGTTTTGGTTTTTTTTCTCTTCCTCTCCTCCTCCCATCTTGCCCAGTTTCACTTCACACATCTTTGTGTACAAAACTTCAGTGTTAAAATTGAGGTTCATAATGCATCATGCAACATTTACGACCTGCGGTGACAATGATGACAGGTATTGCCAGCAGCAGCATTGTGGTGACAATAAATCCTATCAGCAGTAGCACTTCCATGCTCTGTTGCAGGGAAAAGTGGTTTGGAGGTATACATTGGCACATGAAGTATACCTTCAGTGTACTCCTCTTCCACATAATTTTAATGGGTTTGCAGTTTTTTTCTTGTCCCTGCTGCTTTCCAGAAACAGGCAACCATATGCAAATACCATGCAGTCTGAACACACATCTGTGTTCGCTAACTCTGACTATACTCTGCATCCGTGTGCAGGCAGCTGATGTATGTTTTACTTCTGTGCAAGCACCTTGACCCATCCTGTACCATCAGGGTGGCTGATGCTGTGTGTACTGATCAGCACCGTGAAGAGTGACGCAGTGCTCAGCACCTTTGTGGCACATGCTGGGTGTAAGGATGGTTGTCCCTTCCACTTCCTCTGCTCCGTATAGCCTGTGTGAATAAGAGTGGTCGTTAACCATAAAGTTTCTCTTGGATTGAAGGCAACAAGTCTAACTGACCTTTCTATGACGCACGCCACTGCGTGCTTAGAGAGCAACCAAGACGTCTTCCGAGAAAGAGCAATGTGGTCCTTCTCAATGCCTGCCCTTTGTAGAATCACAGACTGATTTGGGTTGGAAGGGACCTTAAAGCCCAGCCAGTTCCAACCCCCTGCCATCAGCAGGGACATCTTCCACTAGAGCAGGTTGCTCCAAGCCCCATCCAACCTGGCCTTGAACACTGCCAGGGATGGGCAGCCACAGCTTTTCTGGACACCCTGTGCCAGCGCCTCAGCACCATCACAGGGAAGAATTTTTCCTTAATGTCTAACCGGAATCTCCCCTCTGTCAATTCAAAGCCATTTCCCCTTGTCGTGTCAATACATGCCCTTCTGAAAAGTCCCTCTCCAGATTTCTTGTAGGCCTCTTTTTTATACTGGGAGACTGTTACCAGGTCTCCCTGAAGCTGTCTCTTCTCCAGGCTGGACAAGCTCAGCTCTTTCAGCCTGTCTCCATAGCAGAGGTGCTGTAGCCCTTGGAGCATCTTTGTGGCCTACTCTGGACTTGCTCGAGCAGGTCCACGTCCCTTTTGTGTTGAGGGCTGCAACACTCATGCTGCCTTTACTTCCATGGTGAGCTCTGGATGTGTTGCGAATACTGCCCAAGTAAAATTGAGTGGCTTCTGCTCTCTGCAGATCTTGTCATGCTCAAGAAAGAGACGTAGACTGTTTACCCACCACTTTATCATCATTTGACTTTTTCATTTGTCCCTAAGACTGCCTTCCTTGTTCTGTATTTGTGTGACAACAGCAATGATAGTCTCCAAATGGATAAATGGAATGTAACTGCATGCAGAGTCTTACCTTTTTAGCAATTATAGTCCCAATTAGATTTGTTTTGGTCGTTGTGGTCTGTTTGGATCTGTCAAATTTACAGGTCAATGTACTCTGTAAATTAAACTTTTATGAGCTCATTAGGAAAGAAAACTACAACCATGACAAACAAGGGCTCAGTCTGCTTTGTACAGAGTAGCCCAATGTAGGAATTCACTAATTCGCCACTTAAGGTGTGATGTTACTAACTCGCACTTTCTCTAATCTACAGCTCATATCTAGTAACTCCTAACTTGTTCACCTGTGAGCAAAACTGTTATGTAGCTGATGGTGGGGGAGCTTATCTTTCCTCTTCCATCATGGTGCAGAGGGGGGTCTCCTTGATCATACTGGGAAGCACAAAAGCCTCAACAGTCCAGCTGATGCTGGATCTGCTTTAAAAACTCTGTGTAAGCTGATGTATTTATGTCTTCTAGCTTTGAAGTTTGGTCTGTACCATTTCTGTGAGTGAACAGATTCTACAGAAATTTACAGACAATCAATATGTGAGCATTATGGCTGCAGGAGACAGCAAGCTGAAGATGTGATGGCTGCATAATGGCTGTTAGCCCTCTCTGGCCACCAGGTCCTGCCTATGTGTTTCTTCTGCTTTGACTTAGCAGCGCTGCTGCTAGTATACATCAGGCCTTAGTATGAGCTATGTGTTAGCCAAAATCTGAGCAGGAGCTGAGTGAACACTCAAAGTAGTGACTTCAGAGTGTAAAAAATATTCATGTTTGTTATTTGAGAAATAATTCAGTTTTGTTATTGGTAGCTGAAAGGGGTGTAGTAGATTCTGATGGATCAACTTGAGTGATGCATAGGTGGGAAGTATTGCCTATTGCTGAATACCATAAGCATAATTTCAGATTTTCAGAGAACTGGCCATGAATGTTAATTCAGATGTTCCTATTTTTCTCTTCCTCTTGAGGCTGAGTACCTTCTGTGCATCCCTGAAGTAATACTGTAATTACTTTAATGAACATGATTTTGTGTTCAGTTATTTAAATATTTGAGTAACTTGGCACCTTTTGTTTTCTTTACAGCTGCTTTTGCAGGAGTCCTACATTGGTAAGGTTAAATTTATTGCTTGAGAGTAATATGGTATTTTAAAATAACTAAAATATAATTTTGGCTCGTATTTATGCAAGCTTTTGGGGTAATACATATATTTAGATCTTTCCTCTCAAAACTGTTTTCTTCAAGATGAATAATTCTGCTCTTGTGAAAGATTTCTTAAGTCTGTTCAGTGAAGAGCAAAGCCTACTTTCCAGGTGGAAAATTGTTGCTTAGCTATACAAATTCAGGTGCATTTCCACCTCACAGACTTTTTTTAGTCTCAGCGGATTTTGAAAGTCTTATTTAGATTCTGCTTTAATTTCTTGGTTTTACATCATCTTCTCTTTAACCTCTTCAGAAAAGTCTAGCCAATATTTTCTTTATGTACAGAAGAATGGCCTTTCAACTACTTTTTGTCAATGCAATCTTTGTGTTTCAGGTTCCCCCCTAATCCTCACTTATCTATTTTTTGTAGTATACACTTGAAGTAGAATGGCTTCCATAGTGGGTTTCCCCAGCTGCTTTTGCAGAGATAAAAAGTAACAGCTTCTGCCACCCTGTTTTTTTTTTCCTAGCTCAAAAAGAACTATTGATTTTTAGTAGATTGTTTCTTGCAAATTCCTGTTCAAAGGCAGAGTCATGTGCAGTGCTCTGTTTCTTTTTCCATCCTTTCTGAAGGTGAAGCTCCTCTTTGCAAATTTTGCCACCAAAATGATTTGCATTTTTCCTGGCTTCCCCCCCATACTTGCACCTTTATTTAAATAAAATTTTGTCTGTCAGCACATCTACACGTAGTGGCAGATAACTGTTAAAATACATGTCAAGAAAGATTTTTGGGGAGAAAAAGCATACAATACGTAACACTGTTATTTTCACCAGTTTTTAATCACTTCTTTTGTCAGGTATTTGAATTTTCTTTCCTAATATGTAGACTTTATAGTTTTAATAGCATTAAACTTTTGATCCTTCAGTTAAAATAAATTAAGAGTGTTATGACTAATTTCAGAGTAGAATTTTATAATTGCTCTATGGGTTCATATCTTTTCCATTTAAAATAATCTGAATGGAGGAGAATGTTCGTATAATATATGAGTAAAATGAAACGTTTGCTCTTCATTGAATGTTTTGCCAGTTGCTCCTTGGTATTGCTGACTTAGTAAAGGTTCGAAACCTCTATATTCAGTTTTAACTATTATTATTTTTTAACAGGTATCACATAACAACTCTTTTTGAAAATGACCGTCATTTTTCTCACCTCTCAACGCTAGAAAGAGAAATGGCTTTTCGCACGGAAATGGTTAGATTATGCTTCAAAAAAAATATAGTGATTGGAAAACTTCTGTCTATAATCTTGTGATGTTGGGCTTCCCAAAATTTCTTAATACCATCTGGATAATATATACCATCAATATATTTATACTGATGTCTTGCAACTAAGGTGCTTTACACTTTTACATGCAGAACATTTGTGTGTCTTGCAGCTGATTGCTATGAATATATCTCTTCACAATTCACTTCAAGTATAATTAGAAAATATGATTGTAGAGGACCTAAAATACAAAGCTGCAAGTATCTTAGAGCTTACTTTCACTTATAGTCTTGTTCACGCATCTCTTTAAATATTAATTTTTGAAATGGATAGATGTTTGCATACATATGCACCTTTTGGCTGCTTTCATTTGGAGAATTATGAAATACTGTGCTAGTGCAGTTACCAGCACAAATGAGAGATCTCCAGACATACTATAAAAAGGTGAAAGGAAATCCACATTGCTTGTTTCAATGGCACTAATTGGAGAGATTTGAAAAAGTAGATAGGACAAAATGATTTGACTATTTGTTGTATTACAGAATTTCATTTAAAAACAAAGGGTTTATGTGGCAGTTACTTACGCAGAAGTGTTCTCTTTAATCCTAAATAATAATTCTGCTTTCCTGTAGGGTCTTTATTATTCCTACTTCAAGATCATTATTGAGGCACCATCGTTTTGGAATGGAGTACGGGCAATTATGAATGACAGGCTAACTGAGTATCCTTTAGTGATTAATACCTTACAAAGGTTCAATCTTTACCCAGAGGTGAGCTACATTTTAAAAAATGATACCTTCTGATAAATCTTTGGTTTCTTTAGATTTGCCTACAAGTTTGTAAGAAATGTTGCTCTGGAAAATGTGGTTGTAAAGATATAGTGACTGATGAAGTGTTACTTAAGTTAGGTTTAAAACAAGACAGTTACTTGATATGTTGTGATTGATTCTCAGACTGCAAGTATCAAATGTGAAAACTTTCCAGATCTCAGTATTTCATGCCCTAAAGTTACAATCCAGTTCTACAGTTTTTGTTGTCTTTTGTTCTTTTCACTGAAAGCAAGTGTGTTGCTGACACTGCATAATTCAGGAAATACAACACATAAGGTATCAGTAGTATGTGACAATAATGCCTGTAGTGATACAGGTACTGAGAGGTTATTTCAGCGTGCATATTATGTAAGACAATGAAGTAGCACATCATAGTTCACTCTGGCCCTAAAATCCATGAATGGTAATAGTTTACTTCTGTGTTGCAGAAGAAAATCCTCTGTCGAAGACTGCTGGCTTTATATGTACTTGATGTTAGACTTATTACCTCGTTAGCTTAGGTTCCTACTTTGTTGGGGTTTTTTGTCACTAAAAAGAACATGTTTTTAATTACAGGAATGTCTGTTTTCTTTTCTCTTACGGTTTTGCCACTGTTCTGCAAACCTTTTGAAAAGGGGTATCTCCTTTGGTTAATTACACATCTGTAACTGTGCATAAGCAGCATCAGAATCAAGGACTAATAATGGCTGTAATTGTTGGATTTTAGGATTTATACTCATTCTCCTGCTTTCTCTGAGTAGAGCTACTTTTGGAAGCTATGTGTGTAAGAGTTCTCAGCATGAATGTGTTTATACAACTTGCATGTAGTGGTTTAATTTGTCTCTTAATTCCTTGCTCTGGAAGAACTAAATGCTATAGATGAGAGCTTTTTGCTACCCTCTCACTGGTTTGTTTTTTTTTTTTTGTGTGTGTGTTTTTTTTTGTGGTTAGTTTCTGCTTTTTAACTCCAGAGGGACTGCAGTTCAGTTCTAGAAATGCAGTATTAGGAGCACATGCCTTACTTGAATGCTATGAATTTATTTTCTTTACCTCAGAAAGATTTATTGACTTCACCTGTAGTCTGACTTGCAAAAATAAAAGGTAACTGGTCAGATGAGCTTGCTTTTAGAGACTCATCAGTATCACTGTGAAAGATGACTAAGTAAATTGGATGATGAAATCAAAACAAGAGCAATCAGATACAGTGGCTGACATTCTGTAAGAATGGTAGGTAGATTATTGTGCACAATGTGCAGGCTTGTCCATTCATTCATGATTTTCTAGGATCATACTGGCTCATAGAACTTGATGATAAGGTATGAATTCATTCATCTCTGCCTATGTGGGCAAGCAAAGCGGGCATATAGTCTCCTCTGCTCCATACAGTAATTTACTGCTCGATGCCTTCCTGTAAATTTTTTTAAGTGTATTTCTTGAGTACTTTGTTTCCACGTAGCTACATCTATAAAACTGTCAATAGGTGCAACTTGGTCTTTGAAGTATGTTCTCCAAATTTATCTAGCGTTACTTATAATGGAGTTGAGTGGTGGGAAGATTCATGTGGATTTATTTGCTGGCAGTGAATTTTTTCCTTCTGATACTCAGTATCCAGTCATGTTTTCGCAAAGTATTAATTTCCTATTTGATACCTTAGGATCTTCCCAACTTTTTTTTTTTCTTTCAGCACAGTAGTAGAATTAAGGCTGAATTTTAATAAAATGTTTGTTTAGTGGATTTCAGAATTAATATAATCAAAATTAGCCTTGGAATCCAGTTGCTAACCATGATGTTAAACCCATAAAAAGAAGTAGAACAATTCACTTGCAAGTACAGTTAGTAGTAGACATGAAAACTTCAAGAGAAAGAAAAAGGTAAAGTGACTCTATAACAATCACTACATCACCTGGGTAAATTATAAATATAATCAGTAAAAAAAAAAAATCTGTCAAAATCAACATGTCAGTCTTTGTAATTGTACAATATTGTAGTACCAGTAGAGTCTTGATTTTCCAAGTATTTGCTGCATAGTCAGGCTGTTTCTGTAGCTGTGGTGTTTTCATCAGTCATCCTTGATGCAAAAGGGTAGAGAGATAATGTGCTGATCTCTGTGGTGGAGAGATAATATGTCAGGTTTGCTTCCTGGATGTTCACTGTTATGGAGCAGTTTATGTTTTTGTGTGTAGCGTTGATGATGAAAATTGGAATCTGAATGATGCGCGTTGCAAAGACCGGTGTAGTTGGCATTAAAGTGCTTAATCAAAGGCACCTAATAAAAGGGGTTGACTTTGGTGTTCTTATACACCAGAAGAGTGGCCCGGCCCACAGAGACCTTGTTCTGAGACCCAGTCTTTTGTTTTCCAAGTTTTGCATTCACTGCCTCATCTGGTACAGGACAGTAGAAATTCCAAAAATGCTATTGTGCTGTAATTGACCTAGCAATTTTGTACTGCTTACTGATTCACTTGCATTTGTAATGCCCATGTGAACTGCTCCATGGGAAGTAGCTTTGGGCAAAAAATATCTTGCATGAAGTACCTAACCTGGTACTTTTGTAAGGAGTATTCATATGTAGTAACATCTGCAGCAGACACAAGCACTTGTGACATAAAAAGGTTAAGTTGATAAATAAGTAGGTTATTTTAGTGCAACATTGGTTCATTCCAAAACGTTTAAGCAAGTGTTTTATGTGCTTAGGGTAATGTCAGCTTCAGGGCTGGTGATGCAAATATGTTAGACAGATGTCTCTGAGCTGCCATATGCATTCTGTTGGCAGTGTACAAACCACTTTCAGGTGATAGGAGAAAAGATGTGGATTTGGTTCCCCCAGCCCTGTTGTTGCCCATCTGGAGATGGGGCAAATGTCAAGTTCATTTATGTGTGCATACTTAGTCAGAAGTGCCAGGGCACACGCATTCAGAAAGCCTGCAGGAATTCAATGTATTGTACTTTGCAGGACACAATATTGAGGCAGGAAGCCTTAGTCTATAAGTATGTAGTTATATGTTAAATCTGTAAGATTTACATTGTGAGAGTGTAAAGTCCACAGACAAAGTAAGCCATGATGATTGGAACCTTGGTATTAATCATAGAATAGAATCATAGAATAGTTAGGGTTGGAGAGGACCTTAGGATCATCAGGTTCCAACCCCCCTGCCATGGGCAGGGACCCCTCACACCAAACCATGGCACCCAAGACTGCCCAACCTGGACCTGAATACTGCCGGGGTGGAGCATTCACAGCTGCTTTGGGCAACCCATTCTAGTGCCTCACCACCGTTACAGTAAAGAACTTTCTTATATCCAATCTAAACTTCCCCTGTTTAAGTTTTAACCCGTTACCCCTTGTCCTATCACTACAGTCCCTAATGAAGAGTCCCTCTCCAGCATCCCTGTAGGCCCCCTTCAGATACTGGAAGGCTGCTATGAGGTCTCCACGCAGCCTTCTCTTCTCCAGGCTGAACAGCCCCAACTTTCTCAGCCTGTCTTCATACAGGAGGTGCTTCAGTCCCCTGATCATCCTCATGGCCCTCCTCTGGACTTGTTCCAGCAGTTCCATGTCCTTTTTATGATGAGGACACCAGAACTTTACACAATAATGAATTTATAGAATCACAGAGCAGTTGAGGTTGCGGAATGGATGTCTGGATATCTAGTCACAACGCTCTTCAGAGTGAAATGGAGCAGGTTTCTCAGGGCTGTCTCTGCCTGTTCCAATGTTTGATCATCCTCAAAATAAGAAACATTTTTCCTACGTATAAGTGGAATTTTCTGTATTTCAATTTATCATCATCTCTTGTCAAAAATCTCTCAGTTATCCTTACTCTATGGCCTCCTTTCTTGGGCAGCCCAGAATGAAACTCAGCACTGGAAATACAGTCTTAGCAGTGCTGAGTGGAGGGGAAGGATTGCCTCTCTTGTCCTGGTGATACACAGTTGAGAATACATTTGTTTTTCTTTGCAACAAGGGCTTATTGCAGGCTCAAGTACAGATTGCCCACCAGAAGTCATAGGTCCTTTCCTGCAACACTGGTTTGTGGCTGGTCAGCTCCAGTCTGTAGCGGTGCGTGATATTGTTCCTTCCCACTGCAGGTCTTTGCATTTCCCTTTCATGAGATTCCTGTTGACCCACTTCTCTAGCTTGTTGAGGTCACTCTGAATGGCAGCAAAAGCATCAATCTCTCCTTCTGATTTTGTATCATGCACACACTTACTGAAGATGTTCTCTTGTGCCATCATCAAATCTTAAGGCATAGAACGAAATTGGCACCAGATTAAAGAAACCAAAACCCAAACATAAACCATCCACAGCTGTCCCCTCAGCTACCAAGACAGTCATCTCAGAAAGTTATGAAATTGGGCAGGTGTGATTTCCCCTTTACAAATCCATGTTGACTGCTTCTAATCAGGTTGTTTGGGTTTTTTTATCCTTAGTATGTTCAGAAGTGGTTTCCAGGACTGTTTATTCCATCATATTTTCAGAGGTCAAGGTGTAATTCCCTATGTTTTCCTTCTGAAGAATGAAGTGACATGAAGAGTTTTATTAATTGTATGGGGAAAAGAAAGAGGGAATCATCCTTCTTGTACGTGTTTTTTGTGACACAGGGCCGAGACAGCTAATACTGCAGCGGTGAAACCTATTTTCAGCCTAGGAACCCCTGGGTTATAACTTTCAAAGCAGTTCAACTGAAATGGCCACATTACTCATTTATGAACTCTATAAAGTCAGTTAAATCCTGACAGCATAGCTTGGTAATGTTAGCTAGTGACTGCTGTGAGATGAGTCATCATTTTTTTGTGTATAAAATGCTGATGTTTTCTGTGTCGGATGTTGAGATTTAATTTGGGGTTTGTTATAAAAACATAAAAACCTTTGCATGGAAAAAAATGGAAATGCTGTCTTACATTGCATCTGGAAGCCCTTTCTAATACATGCTTAAATTTAACCTATCATAGTTTATCTGAGTAAAAACCCTGAAGTCTTCATCCATTATATTCTTGCCAGGTGGAAAAAAAAATAATGGATTTTAATGGATTTAATTTGGCCAACTGTCCTCTGTCAACAAAATCTGAGATTTTAATATCTGATAAACAGAAGATGGTATTGAAATATATAATTTTTTCAAATATTGCAGTTTGATGCATGGAATTATTTCTATTCTAAAGCAGGCAGAATTTTAGTCTATTAATGAACACTTGGTTTATGTCAGATGTGTTTAGGAAATTATGGTCAAAAAAAGCAAAGTAGTTGAGAAATTCTGGGTTTAAAAAGAATCCTGGGTGACGGCCATTTGTCATGGGAGGTTACCTTGAGCACTGAGTTGATCTCAGTTCCTTTTCAGCAGCTTCAAATCCTGTTTTCCACCCAGGTGGTCCTCGCCAGCTGGTACCGTATCTACACTGCCATTATGGATTTCCTTGGTGTACCTACAAAGATGTGTTGGACTGTAAACAGAGGAAAAGGGCTTAGTCCTGTTGAAAGCTGTGAGGGTGAGTTGTGTTTTATTCTAGCTTCTTCTGGAAGCATATAGTAGTGGCTTGATGTATTTCAGAAGTAATAAATGTTCCTGTGTCTTTATCACTGACATGTTTTCATTTGGCTAAGCCTGTGTTTTCGGCAGGTTCCCAGCAAAAGTGAGAAGTATGAAAAAAAGATACTTTGAAGAGCACTAGGGGTGAAAATGTGGGCTTTGTATATTAGATAGCTCCTCCTACCTAGGTTGAATTGGCTGTACTGTACTTCAAAACTTCGCGTTTGTAGTCTGAGCCTTTGTAATGTTGGAAGTGTTATAAAAATAAGATCTCCTAATGGTAATTGGAGGCCACTATACCTGTGTTAAATTTTTGTAGCTTTTGTAGAATCCCCAGTGCATTCTGAGTTCCTACATTCCAAAATCTTACTCTTTGTATTTCTTCCTCTAAGTACAACTTGAGAAGTGGGGAGGATGGGGAAACCAGTAACAACCAGACTCCTTTTTGGAGAAATCTTGTGTAGTGATTCTGCTGGGAAGAATCCTCTTCCTCTTGTTACCTGCTATTCAGCATAAGAATTCCAGTCGTATACCTTGATTATTTTTTAATTTTTTTTTTTATATCAAAGCTTGCATACTGCCATTTTTTTTGTGGTGTGTTGGGTTTTGTTTTCCCACATTTAAAGTATTGGCTTGTCAAGTAAGTATTATGTGATAAAAGTACCATGTTGAGAGGCACTTTTGAGATGTTCTACAGTCAGTTAAAGCTGAGTGATAGATGGTAGCTTGTAAAGTAATTTCATTTTATCATTTAAAATGTCTTTGTGTGCCGACAAGTTAGTGTTTTTCCTTTGACAAAGGCTATAAGAACTTTCTTCACAGCTTGACATAAATGGAAATAGTGAATCATTCAGAGCAATAAATAGTGAATATAACTTTTCATTCCTGTTTTCTGTAAAAACAAACCCAAACCAACAAAACTGCCAAGTATTGAGACTACCATGTTTGATGAGCATAACATCATCTTTCTTTAGAGAACTATCTTGCTGTATTTCCAGCAATGGTGAATACTAATTTCTACATACAAAACTATGAAGTTTTACTACCTTCTTTAGAGTGAATAAGGCTTTTTGTGCTGTACTGCTGAAATGATTAGAGCCAGGAGGGTATACAGAAATAATGGGAAAGAGAGTAACAAAAGCCTGAACACAGAAGTGAATGAATAAATTGAAAGATGTCCTTTACTGGAAAATCTCTTGGCTTCTAATGAAACAAAGTAAAGAGCATTGGATGTGATTTGCTGTCTTCTTTCTGTAGATGTATTAAGGTAATATACTGTGTGTTGTATTATACCGATTGTATGGTGGTTTATAAGCAATGTAATCTTTCCTCTCTGTTTAACAACATATATTAACTGTTTGTTTGTTAGGGTTGGGAGACCCTGCTTCCTTCTATGTTGCTATGATTTTTCTTTTGAATGGATTAATGATGTCGCTGTTCTTCATATACGGTACATACCTCAGGTAAGGCAGTTGAGACATATTTAGTTGGTGCTGTAGTTTTTTTTACATGGAATTTGAACAACTGAATGCTGAAATATTTTTACGGGATACTGCTTATTTGTTGGTACAGTAGTGGTGCTTTTTATTACATACACATTGCAACTAAAAAGATTACTGCAACAGAAAAGCTTTTTGCTTAAAATGATGGTGGTAAATCTCAGTGTGGTGCTATCTCATTGATACCACCAGGTTGTGGATAAATCAAAATGTTGTATGGGTTTTGTAATGGCTTTTGACATGCTTCTATTCTTAAAATTATCAGTGCAGGTAATCTTTTAAAGAAGTTTGGATGGCAGTATGTTTTTAACCAAAATTGGAGTTTTCCCAGTGCTTTGCGTGAAGTCATATTGCATGTCTTTCAACTCTAACTTAAGTGCGAAGGCAAAATATCTTTTAAGATGGTGCATTCTTTTGGAGATACGTACACAATTCCTTTTTTCTATGAATTTCTGTTTTCAGTATCCTTAAATTTCAGGAACTGTAATATGCTTTCATACAAAAATAGACTCTCCATTCGGCAGAAAACTGGAAGTGGCAGTTTTTTTCTGCTTACCTCTGTTTTAATTTGTCAGTTTTGCAAAACAGTGAAAGACTGCTACGTTTTCCTCTGAGAGATGTGATTGTTTTTCTCCCTTATTCCCTGGCTTTGCTGTCTTTATTTATTGTTTTTTTTTCCTGCTCTCCCTAAAGTTTGTGCTCATAGTTCATATAAAGAATGTGCAGGGCAGGAGCTGACAGTGAAAAGGGGAATTTGCTTAGTACAACTATTAGGTGTTTGTGGGTAAAGCATATATGTTTGTATTATTAAATACATTCCTATGTCTCATGTTTTGAGGAAGTAAATAAATTTCAAATATTCATATAATTAACATGTCATTTTTCTCTTAAAGGAAGTGTATGGAAACCCATATTTTATATGGTAATGTCATTGAAAAATTAGTAAGGTCTTAATTTCTCAGTACTTTATCAGTACTTGGCCAGTGTTGAATATAAATAGCTATCAAGTATTGATAGCAATTGAGATTTTAACATAAATGATTTGCAGTATAGATCTGTAGTCAAGATAACTAGGATATGCATGCAGTTCTTCCAGTGTGTAAACCACTGGCTTTCTGGGGTTATGACAATTAACAAGTGACTCTGAAGTTTCCTGCAGATAGGATTTTGATCTTATTTATTTATTTGTTCTGATGAATATTCATAGTTGGATACCAGATCAAGATGAATGCTTAGTCACTAAGGTTCCTCTTAGTCAAAGGAAAGACAGAACATTTACTTTTTTCCGTAAGGTGTGAAAAGTAAAATAACTGAATCTGAAGTAATTCCATTCTACTACACTGGAGTAGGTAATTTTGCGAACCGGCATAAGTCTTCTTCATAAAGCTGATTTGTTTCTGCAATGCATTTTGAAAGGCTTTTCATGGCCTGACTTACTTGATGGTGGTAAACCATCCTCTGATATTTCTCTTTATTTCCGAACTCATTAGCAGCTATCATTTCAAGTTTACATAATTGTGGGATAGGTTTGTTGTTGGGTTTTTTTTTCTTTTTTTTTCTTTTTTATATATATTCATAGAATGTGTGATCTTTTTGTTACAGCCTGTGTTTGCTTTTAGCCCTTTTGCAACTTTGACTAGTGATGGAAGGTGGTAGGAGAGTTTCTTGTCATTCTTTTCTAAGCTAGCATGTGTTCTCACATCTGTGCTCACTGTACTCCATAATGAGCTTGTGGAAAGAGTTACACTAGCAGAAAGCTAGGTGCTTTTGTAGGACTACTTCTTTGTTGTAGAACTTAACCAATTTCCCCACAAGCTTAGAAGATTGCCAGATACAGTATGTCCCTGCCCTAGCACTCTGTGTATGGTCTATGGTTATGAAATGCACTTTAAAATCTGACATAGTGCAAGTTAGTCTCAAGCTCTGAAGCATTCTTTGTTAAGATAACTGAAGCAATATGGTGAGAACTCAAGCCATTTTTTATTATTTTTTTTATGGGCAAAATAATGGCATTTGAATGATAGGTACTTTTTGCAGTTGTAAGATTCTGCCTCCCCCCCAACCTTCCCTGCCCCTCTATTCTGGTAGTCAGGGGACAAAATACTTAAGCAGATTGTCAAATACTGTGTCTGGAGAAAATTTCCTATATTTCCTTCTGACAGTACTTCTCCAATATTTTGTTTCTTGCGTGTTTATCAACAACGAATTACAGCATTTCCCCAGATGACTTTAAGCTCCAGTTTACTGTACAGAGGGACTGAAAGACCAGCTCTTTCATTATTCCAGAGGTCACTCTTACTGCACAAAGCATAACTGTTTTCACTTCTTTTAAGAATACTATGTATTAAACTTGGACTATTCTCTGTTAAACATGGGGCAAGTAGGTTCCAACTGAAGGGCATGGACTTCACCATTTGTAGCATGGTGTGGGAGTTTCAGTGGAAACAGTTACCTTTATACTGCTGTAGAAAGGCATAACTACTGTCTCATGTAAGGGGTAGCATTGCACTGTTAGAAGACAACCGGTCTGACTAAACACTATACATAACCCTCTGTGAAACAGGCTCCATTCACTTCCCTTTCTGGAAAAGATACCGGCGAGGTTCATTTGCCTGTTGTGTGCTTTACATTTGCTGATCTTTTCTCATGTGACAAAACAGTGATTCCTTATAAAGGCTGCTATCTCTGAAGCACTCATAATACAAACAAGACCTTTGTATTCTGGGCTTCACGGTTTTATCACAATATTAACCTTTACCATGGACGTTGAATTTTGTTTCTGGTTTGGGGTGCTTGGGTTTGTTTTTTTTTCCCTATTTTTTTAGTTTGTTTTGTTTCTGAGACTAACATATTTAAAAACAAGCTCATTCTTTTAGTCATTTTGGGCTTCAGTGTGGATGCTTTTAAAATCCCTGAAATGAAAGCTTTGCGTTGCATGATGTGCAAGAATGCACAGTTCTTAGAGATTGTTTAGCACACAGTTGGTATCTTTAACCTACAGGTTTTGCACCCAGAACTCACTGATTCTGTTTAATCTGTGTACTGGTGATAGGTGAAGGATCTGGAAGGATCTGAGGGTTATTTGTATATGCTGTCATTCATAGTAGTAGTGCACCTGTTCTTTAACAAAATGTTCTTTCTATCAGAGGACATGAGTAAATACATATCTAATCAGATAAACAGGTACCTTACCTAAGGCTGTCTTGTGGTGAGGTGTATCTATGTAATATCTTTGGTTTTAGTGGTGACTCCATGGTGCTAATTATTCAGCAGGTGAATTTGATTGCTTCAGAAACATTTAAAAATCCTCAGGGGCTTAAAAAACTTTCTCATGTTAACATCACAGTGTCTCACGTAAGAGTTAAATCGTATCTTTTGTTGACGGTGTCATGAATTAATTAAATATGTTTTTGAACATATTTGATTTGATTAAGTTAACATAGTCTTGGATACAGACCAAAATTCCGTCTTGGTCTGAGCATGTAAATTTCAAAGTTTTCTGCAAGGGAAGAAATACTCCATTTATACTGCCTGGTTTTTAGGAAAAAAAAAAAAAAAAGAGGAAAGTTTGGCACTTTCAAGTCCAAGCTCTGGGTGCAGCAGATGAAGCACAAGTTGTAATGATTTAAAGCAAAGTTAGTGGGGAATGGAATAACTATTTTCAAAATTATTGACATTAAAATTGCTGTTCTGCAGAAAAGAGCTGATGATCTGCTCTGAAATGAACGTTATCTTGCTAACTGGTATTTTCATATTGTATATATTGCTTTCCCTTGATGCTTGAAAGCATCCCTCCCAGTAGACTTAGCTGTACGTAAGTGTTGCTTCATGTTTTCTCTGTTCTTTCCACAGTGGGAGCCGTCTAGGAGGCCTTGTTACTGTGGCATGTTTCTTTTTCAACCATGGAGAGGTAGGTCTCCCTCTGCAACCACCACCTCCTTTCTTCTTTCCTTTAAGCTAATTCTCATTTCCTTAAAGATAATGATGTTGGTTATTTGTTATAACCCAAAACTGTATAGCACATGAGTGCTGACACACACACAAGCAAAAGGGCAAATAAATACAGTACTGGTATATTATAGCCAGGATACACAGCATTTAGAAACTGTATATATATATAGAAAGAGAGAGAGAAAGAGAGAGAGAGAGAGAGAGAGAGAGAGAGAATTCCAGTGCTAAACTTCTTTAGTAAGCTGCATTACAGATAAAAACCAAACAGAACTATCATTTAAAACATCTCCCTGTGGCCCAGTCTCCCTGTCATGTCATTGTTTCATACTTTGGAAGAAAATTCACGCTTTTATTCTGATACACTTAAGCAGTGCTTCTGGGTTTTAATGTTAATTTTGTATATATAAATGTATATAAATATTTGTTCTATTTTATTTAACATGCAGCTGTAGTGTTAAGATTTTCTAGCTGGAAACGAGCTACCTTATGATTTTGCTAAGGGTTAAATTTATGATTTGTTTTCTTTACTGAGCTGAACTTGACAGAAGACTGAGTAGGAAGAATATGAAATTGCCCATAACAAAATCACAGATGCTTCTATTCATAGTGAACTTTGATAGTTTGCTTATGAAACAAAAATGTGTATGATGAAATAGCTATTTTAATTTTAAGTTTAATTTGAAATACGTTTCTCTAAATATCTTCCATCACTCAAGCATTTTATTTGTCAGGTCCAGACCAGCTAAATGTTACAGTTTCTACACTGTTTTTTTAGTGCTGTAAGAGGCTAAATACAAAGTTTTTGGGGGGTTTTCCATTCTTAATGGCATTCTGAAGTTAAGTGAATGTTTTGTCCTTTGCTAGGAAATACTGACTGAGTAGGCACTGTTTTGCCAAGCCTGTAAAGGTGATAAAATGTAACTTCAGGAAGGAGCAAGTTGAAAACTGCAAAGGTAGTGGTAGCAATAATGAAGGGAAGCATTTACTTCACAGGCAGTTCTCATCCATAGGAGACTGTAGGAGAGCTCATCTCTATGGATGACTTGGGGGAAAAACACAGTTAATGTGTGTATTTTGAAGAATGGCATGAAATTAGGTCTGCATAGCTCTATACAGATGGCATCTGGGCTTAGGTGGAGCTGAAGTAGGATGACACTGATTCAGGCTCAGCTGTATGGATTTCTGGAGAGCTATTACTCTTACAGAGCAATACTTACCTACTTACAGAGGTGCAGTGTCCGATTTCAGTTGGCTCTTTGCATTTGTACTGCAGTTAATGATCAGTTGTTTGATGTTGTGCATATTGAATTATGTTACTACGTGTACTTGTGGTCTGGCTTCATTGTGCATACTTGTTGAATCACATGAGGGGTATGCATGCACATGTGTTTATATAAGAAAGCTGTTTTATTTAACTCTTTCATTGTGGAAGTCATCTTGCGTGTGGTTCAGCAGCACATACAGTGATGCTCAGCCACTCGCTGAAAATTTGCTTTTGTTTTCTGGAAGGATAGGACTGAGCAACATGAGTAAGCCTGATCTGCAAGTCTAGGCATCTCGGATCTAATGCTGTGTAGAAGTGGTTAGCCTTCTGGCATCGAGCTAATGATCTTAAGGCAGTATGTGTTTATTTGTGTTGTGCTTGTGCTACTGTGTTTTAATGATTTCAAGCTTAGATGGAGCTGATGTATTTATACCTGCAGCAAAGTTCGTTTACAGCCTTGATAAATCATCCACAGATGATAGCCCATAGAAGAATGGGCTACATTAGTCAATCCACTTTTAAGGAAATGCTTCCTTTTTATGGTTTTATATGCTCATCATTTCTTTCCTGTCTTCATCTCCTCCAGTATTGAAAGATTCGGTAAATGAAATGTTGCTATAGTCTTGAAAAATAATCAAAAAGACTGCTTTAGAATAATCATCATTATATTTACTGCTAATGAAAATAATATTAAATAACCACATCTGTGCAGTCAGCCGGAGGCAGCATATTAGTATATATGTTTATGAAAGATTAATTTTAATGGTAATCTTGATGCAACTTTTACAGAGAGTGCTTTTAGACAGCAAGGACTGTGATTCATGTGATGAGCTTCTGCACTTTGCATTTATTTTACACTGTTCATTTAATGTATTTGTGAAATAGCAAGACAGTAAGGAAGGAATGGTATCATGTTGGTTCTAGTGACCTCCTAGGTAAAACAGCATTTTAAAAAGTGATTTTAAGATTGTAGCAAGTGAAGGAGAAGAAACATCCTGGCATCAATATTGTATAAGATTTCATAGATTCATTAGGGTTCATGTTAAGTTGAACGACTTTTTTTTTTTTTCTTGTAGTTGTAAAGAACCTATTTCTAATTGTTAGTACAAATCTTTTGCTAACCATTTCAAGCACATTTGTTTGTATGTCAGAGTTGTTCTGTAAAGTTGTAATTATGCTTTTGATGGTCAGTGCCATATGCAAGCACTTTTTACGTACAGCTGAATATAAACAATGAAGATAATAGTTATAGCTGAGCCATTTGCCATGAACCTCAAGAAATTAATGGAAAAAAAAAAAAGGCTTTTTAGTTGACTTCATTGTATTATGCTTTGCTGTATTAGGGTTAAAAAGCAAAGTATGCAAGTTAAGAGCTTAAGAGCTCTTTAAGAGCTCAATTTCATGTGTTAAATTCTACCTGCATACTTTTGGAGGGCAGCTTTGGATATTACACTTCCTGTGCTTTTATTAGTAGAAATGTGAAATATTTATAACCTATAATGAAGAGTATGTTGGTTTATACTTCCTCTCTCCACACACTTTCTCCGTCTAAGTGTGGCAAGTAACTGCCTGAATTTGGAGAATGGTTTTCATTTCTTGAGTGAGTTAGTTTCAGTAGAAGCAGGGACAAGCAGCTGCTGTTCTGGCTTTTTTCTTGGATGTTCTCTAGCTGCCACATTTAATTTTGGAACAGCAGTGATCTATTTTAATTAAACAGAGCATCAGAGACCTCAAGTCTGGAAGCCGCTTCCTTTTTCCTTCTCTTTTATGCTTCCTGGCTTGAGTTTTTTTTAAGTTTGTGAGCAAAATCTGATGTAGCTTGTGGGGTTTTTTTTTGTTTGATTTTTTTGTTTGTTTTTAATTGAAGTATCTGTGGTCCATCTTTCTGATATACAAATGCATTGTTTTATGGAAACGTAGCAGCAACTGTTATCATCTAACCCAGTTCTTACTTTTAGTGCACTCGTGTCATGTGGACTCCACCTCTTCGTGAAAGTTTCTCATACCCATTCCTTGTGCTTCAGATGTTGCTCTTGACCTATATCCTCAGGTACTTCTCAATTTATACGTAGCTCTTTACAGTTATTTAAAATGTTGAATGTAATAAGACATTTATTTAAATGCATTTATATAAGTGCCTCTGTGTGCTATAGCAATGATATTATTAACATAGAAACTTTCCTGTGGCTGTTACATTGCAGACGCTGCACCAGTAGAACTGCAGTCATATTACTCACTTATTAAAAGGAAAAACTTTGCAACTTGAAGACATGATTAAAATAAAAATCAGAATTACTGTGTTGACAAATACGTGTCTAAACTAAAAATCAGAATGTTTGGTTGATGTCACTTCCTTCCCATGAGAAACAAGCTGATACTCCATCAATTGGTTTTGTGCCTCTTGGAGAGTGGTATGTTGGTTGCACTCTAGAATACGCCTGTGCTATGCAACAGAGAATGCTATAGGCACTCATAAGCTAGTATGTTTGTACAGTTTTCTGACTAACTAGTCTAATTAACTAGTTCAATGATTAGAGCAACCTAATTACATTAATGCAGGGATGCTCTTGAGTTCTTAGCCCTGCTTTTCCCTTGTTTCTGGCTTGCAGCGTGATTGCGTTATTGTCTTGCCTCTGTTTTGAAAAATAAGCATGATTGTTAATACTTGAGGGCTTTTCCACCAGCTCCACTGCATCAGATTTGCAAAATATTTATGATTTAGATGAACATTGTACTTGTAGCCCCTGTTTTTCCTTTATTAGCTCATACTGATTTGTAGTTATTGATGATTAAACCAAAAATATTTCCTGGTTGTCACTAATTTGTGGTTTTTAGGTGAGGGAAAGCTACATACTGTGTAGAAAAATATTTTGAGGATTTGTAGAGGGATTGCTAGATGTCATATCTGTTCATTTAATGCTATATTGTGAGGTCAAACAGAATCTGAGGAAGTTACACTTTAAGTTAGGTGGTCAGAGCACGTACGTTCTATACCTATAATTATGACACTTCTGGATTAGATAGTCACTTCTGTTCTTCACATCTCGGTACATAAATAGTAGTTGGGCTTGCATATTGATGAGAAGTAGATATTAATCTAAGCATTTCAGAGCAAGGTTCGAAAGAAGGGATAAAACATTTTAACTTCCTGTTTCTCAGTTACAATTCCTGCGTCAAGAGCAGCTCTGTTTAATGTATAGCAGTATTCCAATGAAGTATAGCAACTATCTTTGGAACAGAGACTAGAACTTATATTCTCCATTATTCCTATCAGTTGTATCACATATATATAATGTATTATTTAATGCATTAGACTCATGCCCAGCATGACTTCCAATAGAAGTTAATCTTGAGGCTTTGTAAAAGATGCTGAAAAAGATATGTAAATATGGAAGAAATGGGAGACAGAGGAGTGAAATTGCTTTCAAATGCAGACTGTTCTGAGAGCAGTTATGATCCCAGCTGAAATCGGAATGGTGGTGACATGCCTGTAGGTGGACGGTGGCAAGTTACATAGGTTGGCCTGGTGTATTGCATGCTTCCAGGAGAAGGCTTGTTTGGTAATGAGGGACTTAATAGTTAAGAAATGTTAAGCATCAGAACTATTATTTTTAGAAACTGATGGAGAATGGATATTAAATTTACTTGAGCAGTGTTATTTGTGGTTGATCACAATTACTAGCTAAGTTCCAAGGTAACTTTGGTTTTGTTGCAGTCTCAATTGTACTTTTCAATAATGTGCAAACACCTGTGTAATTTTACTTACTGATGCCTATTCTGTCTCTTTTTCCCAAGGATTCCGAATATTAATACGGGAAGCTTGATTGCACTGTGTGTTTCTAATATCTTTTTCATGCTTCCCTGGCAGTTTGCTCAGTTTGTTCTCCTAACACAGGTAAGATTATATTCACCTCTTTATTTTATCTAGGTAAATTGACTGTCATGGACAGACAGCCACTGGATTCACAACTATACGGATGCTTTCCTTTTAGCCAGATATCATTTTTCCTCTCCGGGAAGATTCACACCATTTAGCGCATCAATATTTTCCTAGTCTGAAACTTAAAAATTGACCATTTACACCACTCAGCATTCTGGTTCTGGGAGCAGAAAATTTATTTTCCCCTTAAAAGCAGCCACCAGCCTGAGATCAGTGTATTAGAACAAGTGCAGAACAAGAACAAACTTAGTATATTGAAGTACAGAAATAAAAAAGGTATCGATCTTGGATCTCTTTAGGCTGTTCTAAATTTTTAAATGGAGCAATGTTTGCATGGCATGTAATATCTGGCATGATTTTGCATGATTTCCTATTTAATTTTAATGAGCCTGTCAATCGTGGCATAATATTAGTGTCTGAGAGTTTAAACAGTTGAGATAACTTTAGCAAGTGTTGAAATACAGCAAATGCTAATGTGCACAGAAGGCTACTGTCATATAGCACACTTTCTTAGTGTTCAAACTGATTGAAATACAGCCCACTGATTGAAATCTGTCTATGTCTCCATCCCTTTTCATTTGTCTGTCTTACTTGGATGTTGCCTGGCTTGAGTTGACAGCTTTGGACAATCAATATATGCTGCGATATGAAAGTTTTCTAACTGCAGAAGAGGAAGCCATTAAATTCTGTAAAAATTATCACTGTAATGTGTTCAAATGCTGGGCCTAAAATTTGAAATTGCAGATTCATAATGTCATTAATTTCCTAGGTGGCTTTTAGTAGAATCATAGAGTAAGTTAGGTTTGGAAAGGACCTTAAGTTCATTTAGTTCCAACCCTCCTGCTGTGGGCAGGGACACCACGCACTAAACCATGTCAACCAAGACCCCCTCCAGCCTGGCCTTGAACACTGCCAGGGACAGAGCATTCACAACAACTAAGCTGTCTAATCAATCACTCTCATTTTTCTCAGCAGCAAATTATGGGTATTCCTGTACTTTGCTGAAAAGTTAAGGCTAAAAAATGTTGATGAAAGGTTCTTTTGGTTGGTTGGGGAGTTTTGGTTGGTTGGCTTTTTTACATCTAAGGGTGAAAGATGATGTTTTAGTGCTGGGTTTTGGTGACTTAGGTTTTTATAAGTACTTAGCAAATAAGTAGCAAACAAAGTTAATGATTCTTTGAGTAACTAAATCTCTTTTCAGTATGAATAGCTAATGATTGTTTCAATAATCTTTCATTTTTGTATGAATGTGTATACCACTGCAGATTGTTTTAACTTCTCTTTCACTTTTGATTCTAGATAGCTTCATTGTTTGCTGTGTGTATTATGGGTTATATTGACTCCTGCAAATTACAGAAGATACTCACTGCTCATATGGTAATGCTTTTTAAAAAAGTTAAATCCCCTCAAGTAGGTCAGAACACCAAAAGACCCTTTTTGTCTGCAGTGTTTTCCTTAGTTGCAAGGTGGTTGAAAAGATACAATAATAAGGGATGGAGGGGCCTGTATATGAATATTTGATCTTATGCATAATTATATCACAGTGTTAGAAACTAGGATCCCTGTGGTGCACAGGAGTTTTTGAACTCCAGAAAGCCTGCCAACCTAAAAGATATGTAGAAATATTTTTCTTTCCTTTCTCTCTGTTCATGGACTTGAAGATACTGCCTCAAGCAATGCACTGGAAAACAGACCAAGTAATTAGGTAGAAAGGTAAAAAAGGCAGCTTTCATCTCAGGCCGTATGTTAGCAGAAACGAGATAATAAGGTGTTATTAAGTCAAAATTAGAGAATACACTCTTTATCACTGGGGATGAAGAACCCCAACTAAAACTGGACTTGGAAGACTGTTGTAGTCTTGACCATTCAGAGGTGTTGTGGCTGGGGAGATGTTTAGAAAGGAGGACAAAGAAGATAAACTATTAGTCTGAGGGAAAACCATTTTTTCATACATGGGTGAGAAAGCAAGGGAACATAAGTAAAAAGTATGCAAGTTTCTGTATAATTATCTTATTTTCAGGCTTAAGATTAAGATAATCACAAGTTTTACTACAAGTTTTGCTGTTTAAAGTGAGATTACTTGTAAACTCAGCAGAAAGAGAATGTTTACCACAGAAAAGCTTTGAGCAAAATGGTATTTCATACGTTTTCAAATGTATTTTGAAATACAGGAAATGATAAAATAAGGGAAGTGGCAAGTTCTTATATCTTTCTGACATAAACCTGGAACACCAAATGCTTGTTCCCAGTCAAATTTGCCAAGAAAACTTGCAAATAATCATCTCAGTTTAATAATCTTCTGACAGAAGCAGGATGAAATACTTAAGCCTTTCCACTTATGTCAATAGCTGTATCATATTTTTGGTGCCAAAGTGTCATAAAAAGCCACTTTTCAGTTAGCTAGGCAGTTAGGTTATATCACAGAGAAAGCTTAATGAGGCTGTGTACACTGCCAGTCTGTGTTTTGTGGTGGTTTTAGTTTTTGCAGTCACCCCCCCTTCTGTGTGGAAAATGAAAGCCTATGTCAGGAGGGGAAGAGAAAAGCTTGCATATTTCAAAAGTAACTACATTCTTTTTCTTTAGTCCTCTGTGTAGAAGACAGATTGATCATTGATTTTACTCTCCAAGACAGAAAATGTAATTCAGCTTGCTTTCTGTTAAAAAGAAAGCACAGTAGATGAGGATGACAGATAAAAAATGTATATCAGCCTTGACTTTCAACCTCATATAATTAAGTGTGTATAATCAGAGTGCTGCTTCCTTGCCTTTGGTGAAGAGTATATGTTAAATATATACTTCTCGGTTTGGAAGAAAGAAGACAACAAACATTTTGTTCACCATTTCTGTGTCTGGGCAGGATTCTGAAAGATAACAAACAGGATGGAGAAATAATACTGTCATTTACTGAGTATGTTAGGAATAACTTCAAAACTGTAGCTGTTATATCATGTAGGGTGAGCTAGTCTTACGATCAAGTCTTTTTGTCTCTTAAATACTTCTAAAATATAAGTTAGCATAATAATCTACATTTGGCTACCTGTTGCCATGAAGTCCTTATAACAATTTTTTACAGACCAGTTCTGTACACTGGAGTATCAGGCTTGCACTTGCTGTGAAGTTGGTGTCTTTAAATTGAAAGCTGTTGATACAGGGTAAATGTTATACTTGGGCAGTTCTAACCTTTTCTATTTTAAATCTAATTATTTTTATTGTCTTTCAGGTAGCTCTTGTAGTGTGTTTTATTCTGATGTTTGGTAATTCAATGTTATTGACATCATATTATGCTGCATCTTTAGTAGTTATCTGGGTAAGTTGAGAAAAAAACCTCATTTAACACACTAAGATTGTAATGCTGTACTGTTATGTATGTGTTGATATAAAATGTGAAACTGCTGCATTACCAGATAGTTGAGAAATCTTTCACATGAGAAACAGAATTATACTTACAAGATAGTTTATGAATGGGTAAATACTAATTAAAAACCCCATGTATTTATACCAAGACCTCTTCATAAGAGAAATTAAGTTAATGTTAGAGTCATGGAATGGCTTGTGTTGGAAGGGAGATTAAAGCTCACACATTTCCAACCCCCTGCCACAGGAAGGGACACCTTCCACTAGAGCAGGTCGCTCTAAGCTCCGTCCAACCCAGCCTTGAACACTGCCAGGTATGGGGCAGCCACAGCTTCTCTGGGCACCCTGTGCCAGCGCCTCAGCACCCTCACAGGGAAGAACTTCTGCCTAAGAGCTCATCTCAATCTCCCCTCTGTCAGGTTAAAGCCATTCCCCTTGTACTGTCCCTGCAGGCCCTTGTCCAAAGCCCCTCTCCAGGTTTCTTGTAGCCCCTTTAGGCACTGGAGTTGCTGTAAGGTCTCCCCTTAAGGAGCCTCCTCTTCTCCAGGCTGAACCAGCCCAGTTCTCTCAGCCTGGCTTCAGAGCTGCTTCAGGCTTAGTTCTCTTGTTATTATATTTTTCCTGTTTTTATAGAAATTTAAAATTTATCACGTATGTGTTCTTGACCAGAGTAATTGGGAGACAAGAACATAAGCAAGGACCAGTTTAAATGCTTCTTTACTGATTGTTAAAACAGAAATACAGGACAAATGATGAAAACTGGTTCAAGACTGTTCAACACTGCTGAGTCATACTACCCTGTTAGTGAAATTACTCACTGAAGGCTCTTCATCTAATAATTCATTATCTTAATTTTTCCTTAAATACAAATAACAACTCTCAACCTCTTTCAGTTTCCTATAGGTTCTCTTAATGGATTTATGTACATAGGAAATAGGAGATAAGATTGTGTGGACAGATCTAGTTTAGCATACTACAAATCGTCTCCATTTCTGATTCCTGTTGCCTCTCCAAGAAGGTTGGGCTGTAACAGCATATGTAATTCAGTTTCCCATCGGCTTTGATTCAAAGAAGCTTAAAACTCTGTAATACAGAATCATACTCGTTAAGGAGTAGAATAGTCTTCCATTAATTGTATATAAACTGCAGTAAGAGATTTTATCTTAGTGTATTTTGCCAGTGCAGGATGAAATCAGGATATTATATATTCATATTTAGTTTGTATTAATTATGTAGGGGGAGTTAATAAATAGCTGTGTGGCACAACAAACAGAAAAAAAACTCTCATCCAGGGTACTGGAATATTTTGTTACTATATGATACCTGAAAATGTACATTGATTTTTTATTATTAGGGAATTCTTGAATTGAGTCCAAAAGTCTTGAAAAGCAGCAGAAGAGAAATCTATGTATGGGTAAGGAATATCCTATATTTTGAATTTCAGAATATGGCTTTTTGTTTTAGTGAAATACAGGAAAGACTTCTGGTTTAGTAGTAACTGTAGATACTTGCTTTATACTTTCTTCAAATTCTAACTTGAGATGATCTTGAGAAAGTACTATAAATCAGCAAATTCCTCCAGAGATTTGAATGACCAGAGTCGTACAGCCTGATAATATGGAGAGCCTATTGTGAGAAGTAATCCCTACACACTGGTGTGTGTGAAACAGAAGTGAGAGTTAGGCTGTCCTACTTAAAGTTGACTATGGTACCACCTCTGCTACAATGCTGTGTGCAGCAGTAGAGCCATAATATAAATCAGTTGCACAACATTATTTCATCTGTAATAGGAAATACAAATAAACCATTAAAACACCCCAGAGTACTGAAGCTTGGGGAGTGTATTTGGTTAGGAATGATTGTGTTTGTTGGTGACAACATAGGGGAATTTGTAACTAGTAGCTAAATTTAGTGAGCCTTTTGAAAAAAGGGAATGTTTTTTTAGAAGTTTGTTGAGACATGTTAATTTCATTCTGAATATATATATATATATTCTTTTTAAGGTTATTGAAGGATGTGCCTGGTTATTTGGGACAGTCACCTTGAAATCCCTAACTTCCTTAGTGTTTGGAATAGCTGATGATGTAAGTTATCTGAGTATATGTTTAGTGTCTTCCAAAAAATGTTTAACTCTGAATTGGCATCTTACTGATACACTTTCCTGAAATCCCAAGATTTGTATTGCATAAATGGGAGGATTGCATATTTGCTTTCTCATTTGCTATATATTATTACTTTTAGGTGTTATTACTACAGTTTGTATAAAGGCAAATGTTTTTAGTCATGTGTTAGTAAAACACTCTGGTGTGTTTGTTTTTAAATCCGGATTTAGAGAGCTTTATTTTGGATATCTTCTACCTACACCTTTATTTATTTACTCAATTTCTTAGTTCACTTTCCTCTGAAGCTAATTTTTAAGATGCTTTTGAATTCCTTGTTGTAACTAGGGCTCCTTGCTTCACTTCAGCCTCTTTATTGTCAGATGCTACTGCTAAAAGCCTGTGTACAGATATGCATCAGGGGCAAAAGATGGGAAGCTCGTACCTTAAAATAGGAGTATGCATAATTATTGTTGAACCCAGTTGCAATGGTAACAGCCTTTTTACGCTGTTTTCTCCTTTTTACTTAACACAGTCCAAACTGTGTTACACTCAAAGATGTCATTTAATAGATTTTTGGTGTTCCTATAATAATGTTGTAAATGACACAAACTTCTGTTCTAATTAAAAATGTTTCTCATATATATTTAAAGTACTTTGTTGTGGAATACAGGTCAGGTTTTGCTTACTACATCTTTTTTTTCTTTCTTCTTCCCTCCTACCTGTGTATCCTACCAGGCTCACATAGGAAACATATTGAAATCTAAATTTATTGGCTACAAGGATTTTGATACGTTAATGTATACTTGTGCTGCAGAGTTTGACTTCATGGAAAAAGAGGTAATTAGATCAAATAGATGATTATGGAAGAGGGAACTTCTTGTTCTATCTTAATTCATAACTTAAAACATCTGAGAGCCATAACCTCCTACTGCCATCGTAAGTTCAAGTACTTAGTCATGAAATTAGACAAATTATTGGACTTAAGCTAAATTTAACTGGTTTGATTTCTTCTAAATGAAGTAAAACCAAAACTGAGTTTTGATTTTGGATCTAAGAACTGTGTTTGTTTGTATGAAAGAAGTGCTTGCTCAGGGATGTATGAAAGGTTACTTCAGATTTGATGGGGCTGTCAGGACCTGGTTTAAAATATCTTGAAAATGAACTGAGAGCTGCAAAGATCTTGTGTGGTAGTTTTAGATTACAGAAAAGCATCCTAGTTTAATGTTAGTAGACTTTTCTTCGTTCGTCAGTATCTAGATAGGCATAACCTATAAGCAGTCTAAATTTCAACACATAGCACTCAAATTCAGATGAGATACAACTGCTTTTCAATCTTTGGATGGCTTGCCAGAGAACTGGGAATAATTGGTAATGACTCTAGTAGTGCTATGATCTCTGGTGTGATTTGAATTTCTTTAAGCTTGCTTTGTTCTTGCTGTATATTTAATTTTACATATTACTGAAGGAAGAACTCTATATGGTTTTCTTTAAAATTACTATTGAAGTGATTATAGGTGAAAGGGAAGCAATTAATGCAGTTTATTTCCATCATAGACTCCAGTAAGGTACACAAAGACTCTGCTGTTGCCAGTTGTTCTGGTTGTTTTGGGGGTAATCATCAAAAGGGTAAGTGATTGTTTTAATGAATTATCTTTACCTTCAGTTCACTTTTCTGATTGCTTTGAAGGCATCATTAGATACGTTGAGATGGGAAGAAGTTAATGTGGTGGCTGGGTGCCTTCCAAGCAGTGTTCTTATTCTCCATCCTCAGGGTAAAAAAAAAGTTGAAAAAGGACAAGGAGCTCACTCACTGATTTAATGTCATGAGCAAGACAGACTTGAATTGGGGAAAATGAATTTAATTTATTGTCAGTTAAAAATAGATTAGGATTCTGAAAAACAAAAGCCAAACATAAACCAGCTTCCCTTCATCCCCACCCCCTTCTTCCCAGGCGCAGTGGGCCACTTCCACAGGTTTCAAGTCTTCAAAGAACTGCTCCAGCAAGGGTGCTTTCCATAGGGTACAGTTCTTCAGGGACAGACTGCTCCAATGTGTGTCCCTCACAGATTGCTGCTCCTGCCAGAAAACCTGCTCCTGTGTGAGCTCCTCTCCAAGAGCTGCAGTTCCTGCCAGGAGCTGCAATTCATTCCAGGAGCTGGGCTCTCCATGGGTTTCAGCTTCCTTCAGGGCATGTCCACCTGCTCCGGCATGTTGTCCTCCACAAGCTGCAGGGTGATCATCTGCTCCAGCATGGTCCTCCATGGGCTGTAGTCTGAAAACCTACGTCACTGTGGTCTCCAAGAGATGCAGGGGAACTTCTGCTCTGGCACCTGGACCTCCTTGATTTAACCTTGGTGTCTTCAGGGATGTTTCTCTCCCAGTTTTCCCACTGCTGTCTCATAAAGCTGTTGCACAGTATTTTTTATCTTTTCTTAGATGTGTTATCAACAGAGGAACCACCAGTGTCAACTGATGAGCTCAGCTTTGGCCATTGGTAGATCTGTTTTGAAGCTGGCTCTGTCACACAGAAGCCACCCCTGCAGCCCCTCTGCTACCAGAACCTTACCATGAAAACCCAGTGCAGTTAGATGCAGGGTTTCAAAATACCTACTTAAATTTCTGTGTTCTCTTTACATAAATTTCTACAGAGGTTCAGTCCTGAGTCAGTGGTAAAACTTGCTTTGATGTTAAGTGCCCCCCAGAATTTTGTCACTTAAGCTGATGAGTGCTATAACTGAAGTTTATAACTGTTTTTGTAAATTTGATTATGTATAATCCATGTAAAAACAGCTTACAGTTTATACAGGAACAGATGGGATAACTGCTAACGGCCTGGCTAATTAAACATCCTCAAAAAGAAGTTTCTACTAAAACATTCTATGCCTTTTTTCTTGCCATTATCTTCCAAATGAGATTACTCAGGTGTAATTTAACGTAGCAAATGTTGAAAATGCTTCAGAAGCTTTAGAATGCTTTTGAAAGTTTATTCATACTTGTTGTTGGCTCTTGTTTTCTTCAGGCAATTAAACATCTTACGTGGTCCTTATCTCAGGCGGGCCAGTGTGAAAGGTAAATATTGTCTTCTTTTTCAATGTAAAACTGAATTAACTGCTGGAAGTTTGATTCACTGTCTGATAAATAGTTCATAATTCCACATTATGTTGGTCCTTTTTGAAAGGTAAATTATGTATAGTTGAGTTACTGAATGGTTTGGATATACTCTATGTAGTATTTTTTATAGGATGTCTAAAAGTAAGTTTAGCTGCTTAACTTAGTTTTAGACATCTTAACCCTCTTCTCCACAGATTTTCTATGTAATACTTTTTCTGCTCTCTTCCTAAATCAGTATTTATTTATGTGCCTATTTGCTTTTCTCCTATAATCAGTGAATGAAAATTCTTCCCCATTAATTTTTTTCTATCCAGGTTATAAAGATACCTGAGTTTCATTTTTAGGAAGGGATCCCAACCGAATCTGTTTTGTTTTCTAACTGTCTGTAATCCATGCTCTACCAGCCATTTGGCATCATCTGTTTGTGCTGTGATCAAGAGCAATCAGTTTGTCTGACTGAATGTAGTTATTACCCCGACATATCACTGACCATTTCTGTGATTTCTGCTTTCCATCGTCTAATGACTGTTACCAAAATTTCCACAGATGGGAGCAGGATTCAGCATCCTGTCTTCACACACGTTTTTGAAGAAGTATACTTGATTTTGACTCTTCACATTTGTATTTCCTTCTGAGAATCCAAAATTAATCTATATAGTACCTCGGTAAATAAGTGACTCTACTTTTGGTACCAGTGCTCTGCCTGTTTTATGCTGCTGAGATTTAATTTTCTAAATAAGCTGTTCTATAGATAAAATAATGAATGGAAGTAATTAAAAAGCTGCTAAAAATAATCTTAGTTTTCCAAATTTTTCCAAACAGATATAGGTATTGAGGAAGATAGTTAACTGATTAGCGCGGTGTATTTCAAAGCTTGCTATAGAGGGGGAAAAAACATAATCTGTGCAGGCATTGGTTTATGCTTACTGGATTAGCTTAGTCGTTTAGAGCTGCTATAGATGACTTTAAGGTAAAACCAGGGCTTCTGTAGTACATAAATAATGTGGTTTTCTGTTTTTCATTCAGAGAGGAACGTTTTAACCAGGGTGAGGTAAGATTCTTTTTCTACACTATTTCATTTGTGTGTTAATGCAGATATTCCAGTATTGAAATACCAATTGCTGATACGTGGTTTATTTGGTGAAATACCAGTCTGCTGATACGTGGTTTATTTGAAGCTAAGTTATTAGTATCTTTTATTCCCTGTGGGTCTGGTATGTCACCAGAATAACTCTGGAATGTTGAATAAAAAGAAACATACTAATTAATGATGGGGTGCCAGTGCAAGAGAGGGGTCTTGGACTTTTGCTGTGGCAATGCAGAAAGATGTTGAACTGGACTTTTCATTTTCCCAGTGTAGACTTAGAAGAAGACTGATTCCTTTACCAGGGTTTCACATAGAATCATAGAATTGTAGAATAGTTGGGGTTGGAAAGGACCTTAAGATCATCAAGTTCCAACCCCCCTGCCATGGGCAGGGACACCTCGCTCTAAACCATATCACCCAAGGCCTCGTCCAACCTGGACTTGACCACTGCCAGGGATGGAGCATTCACAACCTCCCTGGGCAACCTATTCCAGTGCCTCACCACCCTTACAGGAAAGGATTTCCTCCTTATATCCAATCTAAACTTCCCCTGTTTAAGTTTTAACCCATTACCCCTTGTCCTATCACTACAGTCCCTAATGAAGAGTCCATCCCCAGCATCCCTATAGGCCCCCTTCAGATACCAGAAGGCTGCTATGAGGTCTCCACGCAGCCTTCTCTTCTCCAGGCTGAACAGCCCCAACTTTCTCAGCCTATCTTCATATGGGAGGTGCTCCAGTCCCCTGATCATCCTCATGGCCCTCCTCTGGACTTGTTCCAACAGATCCATGTCCTTTTTATGTTGAGGACACCAGAACTGCACACAATACTCCAAGTGAGGTCTCACAAGAGCAGAATAAAGGGGCAGGATCATGAGTTGTTAAAATTCTGTTTCGAGACATGCCATAGTGAAAAGGATTCTACATGTGGTTCTTTTGATAAAATTATGCCCAAAAATGTACTGCATCCAGCTCTGGAGTCCTCAGCACAGGAAAGATGTGCACATGTTGGAGCAGGTCCAGAGGAGCTCATGGAGATGCTGTAAGGGCTGGAGCAGCTCTGTTCTGGAGGCAGGCTGAGAGAGCTGGGCTGGTTCAGCCTGGGGAAGAGAGGGGGAACGTACTGCTATCTTTCAGTACTTAAAGGGAGCTTACACGAAAGATAGGGACAGGCTTCTGTAACAGGGCCTGTTTTGATAGGACAAAGCATAATGGTTTTAAACTATCAGAGGGTAGATTTAGACTAGATACAATGAAAATATTTCTTATGATGAGGATAGTGAGACACTGGCAGAGGGAAGCTGTGGCTGCCCCATCCCTGGCAGTGTTCAAGGCTCGATTGGACGGGGCTTAGAGCCACCTGGTCTAGTGGAAGGTGTCCCTGCCCGTGGAAGGTGTTCCTGCCCATGGCAGGGAAGTTGGACTAGATGACCTTTAAAAAGGTCCCTTCCAACCCATCCCTAGGATTCTGTGAAATATAATTGAATGGTAGATCTCTTATGTGGTTTTGTTATTTGCAAGTGAGTGAGGACAATGTAAAATGTTCTTAGCAGCAGGTTTATTTGTGGTTTGTGCTATGGGAGTCTCATGCCATTCAAAATGTGATAATCAGAGCCATTTTTGCAATCAGTGCTTTTATCTCTGATTTATCACAGCACTTGTGGAAGTTCTAAGTTCAGTGTTAAGAGTGGTGACATCTCTGATGCTGTTTAACCATTTCTGAAAATACTAAAGAAAGCTGCCTGTGATTGTGTGATTACCAAGGATGATTTTTATTTGCTTCTTTCATTCCATACTTAGGTATCTTAGGTATTAAATGGTAAGGTCTCTTTGCCTCTATAAAGGGGTTATACAAGAAATGTTACATATGTTATTGTCTGCTTATGTTTTAAACTCTTCTGCGTAGCTAGCCATTTCTTCAGCTTCTTTTGGGTTTATTGTTAATGTTTGTCCTTATACAAATGAAAAGTATGCAAATATTCTGTTTCTGTGTGTTTGTTGGGGTTTTTTTGCAGCTGGTGTACCATGCACTGCAGCTGTTGGCATACAGTGTCCTAGCTATTTTAATCATGAGACTGAAACTGTTTTTGACACCACATCTATGTGTTATGGCTTCCTTGGTGTGTTCAAAACAGGTAAGGTCTGTTTTTAATCCTATAGCTATCTCACTGTTTTTAATGTTACCCAGATATATATCTGAAAGCAAATATCAGTATGTGTAATTGCTGAATCTGAGTGTACCAGTTAGAATAAACCAGATTATATTGCTTGTTCAGAAATGTGGTTACACAAGTTCTGTTTGCCCCTCTCCCCAGATAAAGCAAATGTAATGTTTTATGCAGTTTGTCCAATTGTTATTATAGGCGTTGAAATGCTGTGTATTGAGCTTGTGCACAGGGAGTCATTCACTAGCTTTTACTGTATTTACACTTCTGTACCATTGCATGTTTTTTATTGACTATTGATTTTATGCAAACATTGTTTGACTGTTTACACTGTGTTTTCACAGCTCTTTCCAGCTTACTGCCTTGTAATTAACTACTCATTTCACATATTTATGAGTATTTGCTCAGTTCAAGAAATGGAAGAGTAGGCTATAAAGCAACATTAACCTTATATCCCCAAAATCTGCTTTTCTGATGTTTTTGGAAATCTGTAGTATAATCTCTAATCCATGTACTACAGGTAGGAACTCTTGATGTAAATAGGAGATAGAAACTGTAGAAGTGCATTTAGCATTATTAAATCATCTTTACTTGCAGAATTTGACTTTAAAAGCTACATTGTCTTTTTGGCTTTTAGAATTACAAATATGATGCCCTATACTCAGTAAATATGAATAGTTATGAGATCTCACTGAAGTTTAGCATAGAAGCAATAGCAGAGATGTTTCATATTATAATATATGTTAGGTTTCTTATAGAGAAATAAAAACGAGTTGTGCTACATACAACATTGCAGAATTGTTGTCTAGAATTAATTGATGCTTGCATTTCAGTTGTTTGGATGGCTCTTCTGTAAAATCCAGCCCAAAACGTTGGTCTTTGCTATTTTAGCATTGATGGCTATAGAGGGATCAGCAAACCTTCAAACTCAGTGGAACATCATGGGAGAATTTAGCAATTTGCCACAGGAGGAGCTTTTAGAGTGGATAAAAGTCAATACCAGACAAGGTAAACTGTTGAATAATTTATGATGTTCCCCATTTACTATCATAATGAATATGTTACTCTACCCATTCAAGAAAAAAAGATGTATTAAATCTCTGTTCTTAGATGTTTAATTATCTAATGAGTACCCTACCTTCTTAGTGGTTTGTTTTTTCTACAGGATTACCATTAAGATATTGAAGGTTGCTTCTCTGCTTTTACTGCTTGATTCTTCATTTCAAACATGCCTTTCATTCTGTATTTCAGATGCAGTTTTTGCAGGAGCAATGCCCACCATGGCAAGTGTTAAATTGTCTACACTTCGTCCTGTTGTAAATCATCCTCACTATGAAGATGCAGGATTAAGGTAAATTTTGAAGTTGAAGATTTCTTTTTATTTGCTATTCACTCTCTTAATTTTGACGTACAGTAGGAATGTTTTGATGTTGTATTGTAAGATTTATTCAAACCCCATAGAATTCTATTTGTGATTTTAGTCAGACTGAAAAAACCCATGCAGTGTTTCTTCAGGATTTGTGTTTATCAGGAAGGATATACTGTAGGATATGATACAGCTTCCAACCTACCGGCAAAAAAAAATCAGGTTATAATTATGGAATTGAAATTAATGTGTACTGTTACATCCTTTCTCCGTTCTAGTTACTCCTGATATTGCAGACAAACTTGATTTTTTTTTTCTCAAGATAGGCAGTTGAATTATTCCTTCCAGCTTTCTGTGCTTAGTTGTCAATTTTTTCATGGTAATATATATAATTATTGAATTATTAAGATGAGTTGAAACTGAAATGTTGTAATGGAATTACTGAGTTTTGTACTTTATTTTCCAAATTTAAATGGATTTATTGGAAAAGCCCATTCATTTCTTTTGTTAATTATTTTTTTATCATAGCATTATTTTTGGTAATTTCATAAAATTGGTTAAAAGCAACAACAAACAAAACAAAAAATGCAACAAGAAAACAAGATAGAGGGGGATAAAGGAGAGGATTAGTTTTACATGCCTTAGGTCCTTAGTTCTTTGTCGTTAACTGGTTTTAACTTTTGGTTAGCTCTGAACTGGTCAGGCAGTTTGACTAGATGATCACTGTAGGTCCCTTCCAACTGAAATACTCTATGACAAAAATACAGGACAGGGAATGTTCAGGGAAAGTAAAGCAGAGATGAGACAGTGTCAGAAAATGAACAGGAGTCAGCGATGTCATGCTTTGCACAAAGGCAGATATAGTTGGGTAGTACAAGCAGGATCAGTGTTTATAAGTGATGATTTTGCTTGATTCAACATAGGCAGACATCAGGGCTTGCACTCTGCATTTAAAGATGCCCAAATTAGGGTGATAAACATGACCTTTTGTGGGGACTCTGGGCAGATGACTTCTTCTGATGACCTCCAGTCCAAGCAAGGTCATTCCTAGCCTTGAATATTGTATGGGGAATGCATTCCTTTAATATTTTTACATTTTCTGTTCACAGTAACTATGGATCTTGTTACAAAGTTGTCTCCTGCTACATAAAAAAAAAAGTTGCAATGGTGTATACATTGTTCTTGTAATCATATTTGTGAAGAAATGATCACGTTAAAGCAAATGGCACTATTAATTTAAACTTTGTTTTAGCCTAGTTGTCTTGTGAAATGAAAAGCCTTCCTGCCCAGCCTAAAGTTAGAGCTTCCGTTTTCATGCCGCGTTGCTAGCTAACTTCTGTATTTCTCTTTTTGAAGGGCCAGAACTAAAGTAGTGTATTCCATGTACAGTCGAAAACCTGCAAAAGATGTAAAAAGAGAATTGATAAAACTAGGAGCAAATTACTACATTCTGGAAGAGTCATTGTGTGTAAGCAGAAAAAAGTGAGTCATCTCTCTCTAACAAGAATGAGGTGCTGCTCAATTACATAGTCCAAGATTCGCTGGAGCTTTGCAGTGTTGATCTGTGCTTTATTAAAGTGTCCAAAACACATTTTGTTCAGATATTAATAAGTATAATTAACTTACCCACATTAGCAACCCCATGGTCTTTGCGTGCAGCTGAAAGCTGTGCTGCATGTAGTTTTAAACTTCAGTGTAAAATATATAAGAGATTCACAAAGGAAACAAGTCATTGTGATGGCAAGAACTGATGTGTGTGTGTATAATGAAAGCCTACTATGAATAAAAGGTGCAGAATAAAAGACAGCTCCAGCACCAAGATATTATGGCCATTGCTTGTCACTGCAAATTTTGTCACATTTAAGCTGTCCTTAAGGAAAAGCTCTGTTCCTCCCCAACTCTTTTTGTCCTTTAGAACATGATTACTTTGGATTTTTTATTTTATTTTGTTTGCATTTAGAATCTCTTCTACTTCTTTGCTGTTATCTTTGACAAAATTAGGAAATTCTCTGCAGTTCTACCTTTGAAAGGTAACTCTGCAGGGAATTGATGTTGGCTTAAAAGCAAAGAGCCACTACTTTTTTTGAAGGTGGTTTTATTTCCCGAGTTTTGGTTAGAAATACTGAGTGTAAGCATTACCCTCCATTTTAAAGGAGGTTGTAAGGGTCCTGGGTAATGTATATTGTATAATTTGAGTTGGTTTATGAGCTTCCTCCTCCACATTGATTCTTAATAACTTTATCACCACAAAAGCAGGCTTTTTTTTTTTTTTCCCAAACTGTATGGGTTTTGATGTCATTTCTTCATTTTTCTTTTCTTATTCATATGTTTTTCAGGCCTGGCTGCAGTATGCCTGAAATCTGGGATGTTGAAGATCCTGTTAATAGCGGCAGAGTTCCTTTATGTACCCTTATGAGCAAGGATTCCAGGCCATATTTCTTCACAGTATTTGAAAACAGCAACTACAGAGTCTTAAAGATTCCAAGGGAATAATATTTCAATACAAAGAGCCACCAGTCTTTCAGCTTTTTAAAGTAGTAACTATAAGAATTCTAAATCAGAAATACCTTTTCTACTAGACTTAAAATGGAAAAATGTGTGTTTTATTTTTTTTTAACCATTTTAAGTGAATTCTGATTATAGAAATATCTTAAACCTAACAGTTTGGATTTCTATTTCAGGGTCAGTCCCTTGAGATTTGCTATGCAAATGATTATATGTTTGCACATTTTATTTAACACTGATCCAAAAAGAGTTAAAAGTAGCTATGGAAAGTTAACTCCATTCTCAAAACCAATGCTATTGTGAAATGGGACTGTCAGAATGTCTTAGCAAAACAGGTTTGTTTAAAGCTTTGGTGCTAGCAGCTAGGAACAAAGGAATGGTGCTATAGCATTTGGCATCACATTTCTCACGTCACTTGCATTACCCGTCTCCCTTCTGGGCAATGTGATACTAGAAATTCTCTTAAAAGTCACGTAGTTTCACTAGTCATGTCTGAGAGAAATACATGTTTTCTTTGAGAGGATTAAGAACATCATTTTGGTTCACTTAACAAATGCTTTTAAGCTTGCTTTTGAAATGGAGAAAAGTTTGTAGGCAGACTTGAAACTTCATTATTAGGTGCATGTTCTTGGAATCTTACTGATATTAAAAAAGATGACTAATAAGGGTAATATTTGCAGTGAGCAATAGTTTAGCTTCTCAGTGTCCAAGGATTTTTAGCATTCGTATGCATTCAGAATAAGCTGGCATAACATACATGACATTTTTAAGGGAAAATGCTTTATTCAGGAAAAATCTGTCATAGCCTTAGAAAGATTCTAAAATAAATTCTTCGCTGCCTTAACTAGACCTTCAGCGCCTAACTTGATGAGAAATTACCTTCAAAATTCATGCCCTATTTTCTTTCCCTCTGTAATAGGTCCTACCTGGATTTTATCATCAGCATTAAAGAGGAATGAAATTTAACCTGGTTTGTGGTATGGATGTAGTCAGTTCTGTGGGTATAATTGCTCCAACTCTATTAGACTGGTTGTGCAATTTTCCTGTCATCTTGGTGTCACACCGATATTCTAGGTAATAGAAGATTCACTTTCCTAGGTACCCAGTCCTGTAACTGACTTGGTAGAATTTGTGTGTGGTTATTGCCATTGAGAAGTATCACAGCAAGTGTCATTCTACTTCTAAAGTCAAGTGTTTCTCTGTGTATCATTCATGTCTTGGTTTTGTTTTCACTTGTTTTTCTTTGGTTCAGACATCAGTCTATTGGTATGACTGGTCTTTTTAGCCCTACTAGCATCTAGCAATATTAGATGCTATAGGAATAGCATCTGTCACGTCTGTATCAGTATCAACTAAATGGGATCTTATGATAAAGTAGTAGTGTAACAACTGATGAGTATTCTAAGACATCTTATTTTTTTAGAGATCTGTTTTATTGAGAGGGCAAGGGAGAATGGCTGAAAATGCATTAGCTTTTTAACTTTTACAGAATAGATTTTGGAAACATTTCTATAAGGAAACTATCACAAAAAGGGCTTTTGGGAAGTCACTTTTTAAAATGTTAATTGAATTCAAGGAAGTGGGGGGAGGAGATCTTTATATAAACATTGTGACTTAGTGTTACAGCACAAAAAGGAACTGTATTTTTATGAAGTTTATGCCAACTGTTGAAATGTACTTACGTGGTTAAATAAAAAAGAAAAACATGGAAATTGTTCTCATGTTTCTGATGAATGCTGCGTTTCTGCTCTTCTAGTAATTACACTGAAGTTTAATACAGTTGCAACAGCAGATGTGATGGAAGCTGAACCCTGATAATTAAACCAGACCTCCTTTTTATTTGGCATGTCAGTGCAGCAGTATGTGAAATAACAGAAAATGTCAAATACGTGTTTACAGGCAAAGTGAACTTGGAAGGCAACTCAGAATTCTTTCTCTTGTTCTAAGTTTCTAAATCCTGTTAATCAGGAGTGAAGCCCAAATACTGGTAGAAGGAAGAAATATTTGGAAGCTAAGGTTCAAAGGTCATAGAATCATAGAGTGGTTTGGGTTGGAAAGGACCTTAAGATCATCTAGTTCCAACCCGTGCCATGGGCAGGGACACCTCACACTAAACCATGTCACCCAAGACTCTGTCCAACCTGGCCTTGAACACTACCAGGGATGGGGCATTCACAACATCCTTGGGCACCCTGTGCCAGTGCCTCACCACCCTCACAGTAAAGAACTTCTTCCTTATATCTAACCTGATCTTTCCCTGTTTAAGTTTTCGCTCGTTTCCCCTTGTCCTGTCGCTACAGTCCCTAATGAAGAGTCCCTCTCCAGATGTACATTAGTAGATGTTCCTCACTGGATGGGTAGGCTGTTGTTAGTGAGTACATGACCAGACGCTCTTTTCAGCTGATGTTGAGAGATACTACACTGTCCCTTTCTTTGAACTGGTCTTAAACCCAAATAATTATTGTGATCTAATGTTAAGATGACACAATCTAGTAATGGAAAAATATGAAGTAAAAAAATGCTTTATATGATTGTGGGAAAAAAACATGGGAATTCTTGAGTTGGGTATATCATGATACAGATTTCCTGTCCTCTGAGTAGTTTGCTCTCAATTCCAATTGAGAGAATTTTGGTTTAAATAACACAACATTTTACACACAGGAGTTAACATTATGTTAACATTACAGTCATCGCTGCAACTTGAACCAGAAAATGGAAGTATGAGATTTCTTAGCTCGCAGCAAAGTTGTTTTTCCATTTTCAAGTTCTTAATCAATAAATCTGTAACTCGGGGAGGTCCATTTTTAAAAGTGTGCTGGCCTTGAAATAGTTTAGGCGGAGGACTGGAATACCTTAGTACCTGAAAACAGTTTCTGTTGTATTCTAGTAATATTGGATCATACAGGTTTGTCTGTTAGAATCTGAAATACTGCCAGCTTTGAGTGCAGTTTCTTCAGTACAGTGGGCACAGTTACAATTCAGTATCACACTTCTGGTAATTGTGAAACTATAATATTTAGTGTGGGGACCACATAAGGCACCTTTATGAAACAAAAGATGCTGAGTCCTATTCAGCCTTGTGCTTCATTGTTCTCATCTGCCATTTAAAATTGCCTTTGCTTTTGCTGCCTTCTGCTTAAACAGTGAAACTAAATTAGTATCTCTTGGATTTTTACGATTAAAACATTGAGGTCAACAATACAGGACTCATTCCAAGTGAAGTTAACTTCAGCAAAAGCAAGTATGTCAGGAAGGCAATTACAAAACACTAATTAGGGTTTAGGGACTGCGTTTTCAGACCGCACTGTTGCGTAGTGTCTATAAATTGCTGTTTCACCTATGTTACGTCATGTGATGGACTGCAGTAAAACAACATGGTATTTTTAAACCCAGAAGAATAAGGTGCTCCTGAGTAATTTCAGCAGCTGATTTATTTTTTTTTTTCCCCAATGTAAGCTTTATTTGTTGCTGTAATCTGAGAAAAGAGAAGGATGGCACCTGTGATGCGAGGGAAGACTTCCGTGTTTGAGTAAAAATAGAGTTTAGATGTTAAGGAATAATTATACTTTGAGTGAAATTAAGAGCGAGGGCATAAAATGGCATGCAGAACTCCTAATCTGAAGGTTGGTCATCTGTGCAGGGATTCTTGGGCAGTGAAACCTCTCAGTGCTATGATAAATTCTCAGCTGTATATATATATATATATATATATATATACGACATAAGCCTTTCTACTTCAGTAGTCAAACACTATGATAAACTATCCATCAGGAAACTTCAAGCTGACCTGTTGGGTTGGTTCAGAGGAGTAAGAGGATTTACAGGGTTAGGCAGCATCTCCCTCAGCAAAACAGCCTGTTTCTAGTCTTGTGTTGTAATTCTCCTTCAGTGATGAAATCCGTTTAATGTCTGAAATCAGCAGTTGTTTGAGTGGGTTCATCATGTAGTAGTTCAACTTTATTGCTTCCTATTACAGCATGTGTAGAACATTTATTGCCAATAGATGATGAGATATGGATCGAACACAGAGTGAATGATTAAAACTGGTTTCATTGTCTGTCTGAGGATTTAGGCAGATAATGTAGCCTGTAGACTGTAGCCAGTCTTCTACCCTGTCAAGATTATCAGTGTAGAAATTGGTTCTTGAGGGCAAGTAGCGCTTGCTTTGCATCTTTGGCAGGACAGCTGTTAGCCTGAAGAATATGAAAACTCTTACTGGATCTCATTTAAAGCTAATACTGAGTCTGCAACAGGACAACCTCTAAAGGGAAAACCTCTGTCCTTTTGATGTTCATCTGAAAGGAAGCAAGTCACTTGAGTTCATTCTGCAGCTGTGACCAAGCTTATTTTCAAAGCCAACACACCGAATTCTCACTTTCATTGCTTAGTGCTGTGTTTAAACACCTGAGATGTTTCATCTTCATGTTACTGAGCAACTGGTTGCTCAGCTTCCCTGACTACGTGTCCCTGGAGTGTCTTAAGATGCAGTTGGCAAACATTATTTGCAAGTGGTTGGTGTTTTGCTGTAGATGTGTCTGCCTGAGTTCTGCAAAAAATCCGAGCCTCTTCTGAAGTATTGGCTTTTATAGTGTAACCCTTTCTCAAAATCCAACTTTTTTCTTTAACTTAGCTAAAGAAAGGTAGCAAAGGCTGAAAATACCCCGGAGTGGGATGCCTCCTATTCTCTTCCTGAATTAGCTTTATGATGGTGCTTGAATGGCTTTATTGATGCCTTGCTTGTCTTTGATTCTGATTATGAAAATGTAACATCTATATTTAGAGAAGTTTATCATCCACTGCTCATAAAAATAAGCTGAAGTTAGAATCAAGTTTTAGTAGCCAAATAGAGTAGAAATCGTCACATTCCTGAAGTATTTCAAAGGCCAACTCAGAACACAAGTTGTATACAAGTGCTACGACTAGATGTTTTCCTTAACCTTAGTTTTATTCATTCTAGATCCTTGCTGGATTTAGCCAGCAGTTAATGTGCTACAAGCTGCTGCATACAGGATCTGAAGCTTTTTAGCCGTTTTTGTGTTACTAATAATTTAAAAGGAATAAATATTTTGAGAAGGGAGAAGTGGTAACAAGGTGATCAAAAGCAAGTTGTATCCCACAACTTATTTATTCAGCACTTTAACCTTAGAGTTTACTATCCTCAATGCTTAAAATCAATCCAATGTTATTCAGCAAGTGGTGCAGTCAGAATCTGTAAGTGATGTTTAAAATAATGACGTCTTGGCTATTTACTTGAATAATTGCAGGTTTGTGTCACCCATTAGGTTTTTGACTGAAATAAAGAGGGATTGTAAAGACACCTTTGGATTAGCAGCCCATGGCATATATTGCCTTCCTTTGAACCTTCAGTGTGCAACTGAACTGATAATTGAATTTAGAAAGAAACCTGTCAGCACTGATGATTTGGTTTTGTAAGATTGTCCGTACACATAAGGAGGTAGCAAAGCAATAAAGCTCCAATTGTAACAAATTGAAAAGCATGAGTACTTGCAGTGTGGAGGGGCGGCAGCAGCACTGCTGAAAGGAAACACAGTTTCTATAAAGTCAGGCTGGGTTTAAAAATGTTTTCTCTTGGTTTTGGGAGGTTTTTTTCCCCGTGGCCTATTTAATCTCACTCTGATTCACTCTGATGTTGGGAAATGGGATGGAACTGAACAGAATAGAATGGGGCAAAATTTCATAGCTGAAACTGAGAAGGTGTTTGTGTCCCCCAAATGTAACCTGGTTTTTCTGAACCTGATCAAAATGCTTGGCTTACACCAATGAACGAAGTGATGGAAGCTGTCCACGTTAACTGGTGTTCCTCTGCCAGGGTAGTCTGTCGTCATTGCTCTGTGGTTCATTTTTGAGCCTGGAATTATGACAAGGTGAAACCTGGAGTACACATCATCCTCAGGACCTCACAGAAAGCTACACAGACAGAGGAAAACCCAACACACGTGTCATTTGTGTTTGCTTATATGGTCTGAAAATAACTTTGTTGGCTACAAATTCCATATGTAAGAGATCTCAACTCATTTATGTGATGCAGGAGCTCACCACAATTAGCTACCAAGCACCTGCTATGCTGTGCTGTAATGATAGAGACTCAAGTGGGTGCATCACAGCTATGATCAGACCATGCTGCCTTCTAGTGAGCTAGTGATCTTGTAGGAGCTAGACTCATTCTTAGTGAGGACTAAGTATGTTGCTACTAACATAGTCATCAAATCCAGAATGTTTTGCTGAAGGATTTATTCAAGCTACTATGAATCAGTGACATCTGTGTTAGGTCCTAGTGGTGGCTTGACCAAGTTTCCCATAGTTTTCAATTTAAGAGCCCTTTGGACAAATGTTATATACTGTATTGTGGTGTAATCCTTCATAAGGAGTGCCATCTGATCCATCTAATGTATGTAAACAAGTAGAAAACCACAGAGGAGGTGCTCTGGACATCAAAGAACTTCCTGCCATGGCTGTTGCATTCAAAATACTGATATATTACCCATTTTATAGAAAACGTTTTAAAATTAGGATTCTTCTCAAGGTTGCAGCAGAAAAATGAGGGACTATTTAGATTGTGAATCACTGGGAGCATAATGAACAAACTTCAGCACAGAAGAGGTGAACGAATGGCTTTCAAGAAGTCATGAATGATTTTGCATGCCTTTGTTCTAGGGTGTGCAGTCGTCGAGTGACTTCTGCTCTAGCCAGT